TCCCCTCAGGACGCCATGGCAGCCATTACACACGTCCTTCCCTGTGCCTCCTTCTCTCCGCTAGGCACTCACTCCAAACCCTCGGCTTAACAGCAGCACGTTTTCAGAAAGATAAAATAACTTGTGTCTCTTACCTTGAGGAGCTCACCTCTCCAGCCTCTGCCCACCTCCCTGGGCTGCACGGTTCTGGAGGGCAGCTGCTCGGGCCCAGCCCACCCACAGCCCTGGCACCTGGCGCTGATGAGGCCCTGTGGCACAGGTGTGCAGGGCCAGGCCTGCGGCTTCCCCCCACCCTGTGGGGACGGCAGGGCGGGAAGCCTTGTGAGGGGTGAAGAGCCAAAACCCACCTTTTGAGCAAAGAGCACACTTGGAATGAAGTGACAGTCATTTGCAACTATGGGGAGAGATAAAAGTAGCCGTGAGAGGTCTCACTAAGTTCTCCACTGCTCAGAACTGTCTCACATTTGCTGTGTGCTGCCCAGCCTGCAAATGTAGCCTATCAGCATGTAGCCTTAAAAGAAACAGAAGAACGTAGAACAACATAAAGCAAAGCTTTTGCTCTTCTATCTTTTGAAGGAGCAGATAAAAATTAGCTTACCCTTTCTGCAACAGCTGCAAGGATAGTTTTGGCCATAGCAAAGGAAAACAATGGGTTAGAAGGACCCAAAGCAGCATAGTATGGCTGAGCTGGGAGATCTACAAACCCAGACACATAAGAGAGACTTACAAGAGCTACCAGAAAGAATAGGAAATAATGTCACATTTTTATGCATGTCTGCAGAGCTGCACACAGCCATATGAATGAAGAGACAGTGATTTCCACTCATCAGCCTCAAAAATGTACTATGTTGTAACTAAATCAGCAGATTTGTTACCATCCTAAATTTATTGTTGCTCCACAGCAGCATAGTCCCTTCTGCTTGGCTGCTGCTGCCAGATGTTCATTTCAGGGTAATTTAGACACAGACACAAGACACTGGCTTGCACTGCCCTTGCTCTGTTTTCCGTTAGTAATTCTCTTTGCTTCCTGGTCGCTATTTCATTAGCAATAAGTCATGCAACAGATAGGTAAAGCAATACAAAGAAATTTTTATTACACGTGCTGATGGATTGTGCTGTCTGCTGAAATTTTGCAGATTGAAAGCCCCAATGCTCCAGGTTGCAATGCTAACCTTCATACCACACAAGAGCTCTAAAAAGCCTTTCTTTCTCTACCTCCTCTGGTGCAGCAGTCACTCAACCCCTCAATCTAAAACCATAATTCCTGCTTCCTTAACTACATGCCAGCAATAACATGGAAGGACTCCACACCTCTGAAGTTAGACCAACTCGTCATTGGGAGAACAGCTAACATGCATACTCTTACTAACATGCATACAGATCCAGCTCACTGCTCTCTTCTCCAGTGTCTTTTCTCTCTCTGCAACTTTTTTTCACAGCTTGTTCTTGTTCCCTGCAGTCTGCTTTAAAAGGATCTGTCCTCTCAAGGAAGCCAGCAGCTTCTTTTATTTATTTGTGTTTCTGTGATAAAATATGCTAAACAGAAAATGAGGTCTTGGTCATAGCAAAGTCAAAAACATTAACAAAGAATGGCAAAACCAATGGCAACTTATTATCTTGTTACAGAAAAAAACAAACAAACCAAACAACCTAACTAGTAGAACAGTGCTGTCTTGTATTTCCAGAAGCAGCAGTACTGAATAGATCAGTTTGATTTGTGGCTGACCCACTCATTGAAGTTTTTAAAGGTTCAAGAAGAACTGCAAGGCAGAACACACCAACCATCTGGCATCTCAGTTCTCTCTTTCTTGCTATCAAAAAGGTAGGGTATTTCTCTCTCACTCACACACACACACAAAGCCCAAACAACTAACCAAAAACTGTAGAAACTTGATTTGTTGAGACTTCTACCTTGTTCAAGCTTTGCTGAAGAATTCCATGAAGCTCAAAAGCTTTGGTGATAACAACAGGAGGACAAATGAGCAAAATGAGCAGTGAAGAGATCTGTTTCCTTTTTCTTTTCTTTTCTTTTTAAAGGAATCTTGACCAAGTACAAAATTCTGTCACAAGAAAGTCAAGGAAAAATTTTGTACATATCTAGGGCTATGCACTAAGCCTAACGTGGTCAGTATCATATCCAAGTCTTGTGAACAAATATCATTCTAAATCCAAATTTTATTTTCCAGTGTTCAGCTCACCCATGTCTTCCTCACATTTGCTTTCTAACGTTAGCCAGATTTACTTCCTGTAATGGCTGGGTTTTATTGCCTCATCTCCACATGTATTTACCCAGCTGCTATGTATTTGCTAGGTGAACATGTTTCAAAAGGGCTTTTAACCCTTGCCTCTGGGCAGTCAGGATTTCCTGTTCAGCAGCAGTAATAGAGTGAAACAGGAAACAGTGATGGCTGCTACCACTGGGTGGAAGGAAAAAAGGTCAACTGCTGCATTTGTACCTTCTCATTACTCCCATACCCTCAGACTTGTGGCTATCAGGATTGCTGTACAACCATTTATCATTGCCACAATTAATAATCAATCTATGAGTAATTAAATTAGTCAAATTGTCCTGCCTGCACATAGATCTATCCAAATCAACCTTTTATGTTTTCAGTATTTGCCGACCTTCACTTGAGCACATAACATCAATACCATTCAATCAAACTCAGCTTTGAACACTTACTTTACTGAACTAGCACTGATTGGTGCAATAGCAATGCCAGATGTCCATATGCTTAGCATTAGTGTTATGCATGGGAACAGAGCCCAGCCCTTCTAGTAGCCTGAAACAGAAATACTTTTAATAAGGCCTTGTTGTGAGACTGTCAATTTTATATTTTATTCTGTAGTGTTGAGATGTGATATTGAACCAAACTGCAAAGTTTTGGAAGTCATTTGGCATTCTGTATCATTAGGAAAAATGTTAACTTTAAACTAATTTTAAGAAAAAAGTCTAATTTGATGTGAAGCTCAAAAAACAGCAGCACATTGTACTTTACATTACTAGGTGCACAGTGTTTTGCCTGTCATCTCCTTGGCTATACATGCCCTCATTGCTGTGACCAGCTCTTCCATTTTATGCTTTAGAAGGCTATAGCACTACACTAAGTGCATTCATTTGAAGCTGTTATGTCTCCCATTTTCACCATGAAAGCAGAGATGGACTGAATGCTCCTCAAACAGGAATATCATACTGGAGTTTCTGAACTGTCAATTGAAACAAATTTAGTTTTATTCTGAATCCAAATGAAACGTACATAAAGTATCCCATATAAAAGTTCCATGCTTTGTTTTTCCCAAAGTCCCCAACCCCCAAATTCATAAGAGAAACATTTCACAGCATTTCAGTAGATGTATGTATTATTGCAACTAACACTGGTGATTACCACAAGATTTTAAAAAACTGTATCTCAAATATTTTTGAAACCAAGTCGTTAACTTCACATTGACAGCACTGGTGTTTTTCAGATACACTATGTCAAACATTTGAAAATTATCTTCAACTATCTCTATATTTGAGCACCACGTCAGACCTTAAAGCCGAATACGAACAAGGCAATCTTCTGCCAATCCCTTTCTGCAGGAAGCAGCTATCAGAAACCAATGGTTTTTCCTAAAGGTAATACAAACTGAGAATCAGCAGAGGGACTGCAAAACCATAAACAGTGAGCCTTTAATATCCACACAGCTAGCAAGTCAGGTCCCATTTATTTATTTTAAAGAACAGCAATAGGATCTGGCTATCATTCTGAGACAAGTATATCATTATCTAAGACCTCCTTCATATTAAGTCTATCTAGATCTAAGTAGAAATTACTGTGTTTTTATGCCTTTAATAGTAGAGAAACATTCAAATAAAATGTTTCCTGTGAGCAAAGACACATGAAATTTTGTATAATATTGAGAAACATGCAATTAAAACTCTTGTTCCCTGCATACTTTGGCTCTTGCAGGCTTTTTTTAATAATATGCATTGAAGAATTTACATTAGTACAAGACAACTCAACAAATTACAGAATTGTTTGAGTTGCTAGGGACTCTTAAAGGCCATCTAGTCTAATTCCCCTTCAATGAACAGGAACACCTACAGCTCCATCAGGTTGCTCGGAGGCCCCATCCAGCCTGTCCTTGAATGTCTCCAGGACAGGACATTACCACCTCTCTGGGCAACCTGTTCCAATGCCTCACCACCCTTACTGAAAAATCTCCCTTCCTTTAGTTTGAAACCATTTCCCCTTGTGCTATCACAGCAGGCCCTGCTAAAGAGTCTGTCCCATTCCTTCTTATAGTCCCTCTTTAGATACTGAAAGGTCGCTCTCAGGTCACCCTGGAGCCTTCTCCGGGCTGAAGAGCCCCAGCTCTCACAGTCTGACTTCTTAGGAGAGGAGTTCCATCCCTGAGATCATTTCTGTGGTACTCCCCTGGATGTGCTCCAACAGGTCCCTGCCTCTCCTGCACAGAGGGCACCACATCTGGACAAGCAAGATGTAATTCCAGTCATTCTAGTTTAAAGGGCATAAAAGCATTAGAGCGACTATGCAGCTAACATATCTTCTGCTCACATATGCTTCATAAATACAGTTCTTTCAATCATATTCTAAGACTGCTACCAAGTAGGTTTTAAATCAGATGCGCACATATTAGCAGAAAGGTATCTACTACAATAGTTTAAGCACAAAAGATAGGGTAAGACATGATATGCTCCTGCATTACATTGACAGAGCAGCAGAAGGTGGCTTTGTTGTTCAAATCAGAAAAATGAGGAAGAGAAATTTCTGAGCTATGTAGCCTTAATGTTTTCAAGTGCTTTGCATTGCATGGGAGAAAAAAGCAGAACTTCTATTAGCATACATTCACAAATTCAACTTATTTCTCTTCACTAGTGCTCAAACCTTCCTATGACCATACCTTGGGTCAGTTTGCCATCAAACTAAAATCAATCAAAAATGACAAGTTTAGAGAATGTATTTTCTTAGCTTCAGCACAGAAACACATACTGGTTTAGGCCCATTTTGCTTTTATTAATAATATAAGGTTCTATTATCTCTTAACATTACAACTGAAAGTTTTACAGTTAATCTCACACTAAAATGACAAACACTGTTTGGCTTTATTTGCAAAAGTTGAATTACAACTTTGATGAACACACATTTCCAAGATTTGAGAAATGACTTGTGTTTTCTGGATTTCAGTGCTAATGTATCCCTGCCTTTGAAATTGGTTTAAGTTAATTAACATTGCTATGGAAGAACTATTTCGCCTGATCTTTGTTCATAGCTGTAAGGCAAAGATGACATCTTAATGTAACTACTGTATTGTGAGTGAAGTCAAGAAGAGACATTTTTTTCTTCAAATAAGATGTAGAGCCTGTGGCAATTTTCATTTTTTCTTTTATAACATTCTCTTCCAAATTTTCATAAAGCTCTAACCCAATGTAAATAGATCTCGTAGTCATGCCATACTCACTCAGCACCTTTCTTCCTTCCAAGAGAACCAAAGCTGTGTAACAATATGTCACGACAATCTTAAGTAAAACTGTTTGTAACCTACATATAGCCAAAATAGTTAACCAAATGAAAAAAGTTATGTGGTATACCAAGATACACTTTTGATCTACATGGATTGTAGGAGGCAATGCAACAATGGATCAAGCTTCCTCTCCAAATAGGCTGCAGCTAGTGGAAAGTCTTTCTCAAGAAAGTAAGAGAATAAAGAAGGAAAAGAGTGGTGGAAGACGTAATACTAAAAGGGAAAATTTCTTTTAAATGGGCTCCTGAACTTGTACAATGCTTCACTATCTTCATTAGGAATTTAGATGTGAAATAATTAAAGACATCGGTACTATATTGTTTCAACTATAATTTCACTGAGTTCAAGTCAGTTTTTAAGATAGAAAAAATATTTAGGAAGACAGCAATCAGGTGGTCATTAGCAAAAACATCCATTATAGTTGTAGTTCATCTTCTCCTCGGTGTTATGCAACAATATAACTTTGGGACTCCTATAACATGTTATTTCACCTTCCCATAGGACAACTGATACGCAGTAAAAATCTTTACTGCATTTTAAATAAGTTCAACAGCCATTGGCTACTTGAAGATTAGAAATAGAAAGCATACATAAGTTTTACCTGTGAAACTTCAATAAAGCAAGGATTGGGAAAGCCATAGCCAGAAAGTTAAGAGTCAGGGCTGAGTAGTACTTCAAGCCAAAATCTTAAGACAGGTGTTACTGAATCATGAAACTTGTTCTATGTTTGTGCCATCATTTTACAAAAAGCCTTCACACACTTTCCTCCAAAACTGATTATTCATAGCTAGACAAATAATTTTACTGAGGGACAGATGAAAACACCCTTCATATTTACCAACTCCTAGAAAGGTGCCTATGTTAGTGATAGTAGTCACCGGCAAGATTCCAGCGGTGGTCAAGCAGCCACTATTGTGCAGTATGTGAGATGAGGAATTCCCCTGCATAAACATGGACAGATTCACTTTGCTGAGACATCACTGAGTACATATAAATGAAGGAATACTTAATCACACTGTGAAAAGTCAGTTTCCTAAAACAAACTCTACCTGTTATTTTGTTTGCTGAAATACAAACTCTGGGCCAAGAACAAAAAAAAGAGAAGAGTAGACCATATCAAACTGTCATGAAATAGACCACCAGAAATAAGCCTAGCTGCATTACAAATATTGTGTTAACCACCTATTTCATGTCCTGCAGATTACGAAAAGTTTTCCTTTAGTATTTCGACAGCATGCATTTTGCAGTGATTTTTAACTATTCTTTGGGTTTTCATCATTTCAACTACAGAATTGAAATTAATTTTTACACAAGTTCAAGGTTTTGTCTGATATGCAGTTTCTTGAGCATTTTCTATTCTTTTCATTGTACTACCAAAACTAAGAGCTAATTAAACAGTACTCTAAAATAGTTTAAAAACAATACTTTTTTTTTCATCTCATTAAGGGCAATACTAATAAAAAAAGGTGTCCAAACTGACACTACAGCGTTGTGAAGCAGTTGGCTAGAGAGACTGTGTCCTCAAAGGCCAGTTCATGGGTTTTTTTTTCTTCTTATGCAATCATATACATTAATTATCAAAAAGGTTAATAACATGCTTTAAGAAAATAACCACCCTACAATTGTGTCATGAGTACTGACAAATACTTTTAGTTTGTTTTACTGATCAAGATTCAAGTTTCAATGTAAAAATGCTTACTCACATACCATACTGATCAAGAAAATATTTCATTTTCTTAAAGTTAAATGGATAATTAAAGTTGCGGCTACTAGTGAAGTAGATAAATGATTCATCAAGGCCATAGGAAACTGTACAAAACTAAAAAGGGAAACCTCACTTTCAGAATGATAGTATGTCCACTTCAGTTTTATTAAACCATTGAGACTGTTTCAAAAGACAGCGCTGGGCAGTTTCACTTGAATAGCCAAAATTTGTTTTTCTTTTACTGAAAAAGATATTTTGCATTTCTGCAAAATAAACAAAAACAGGAGCAAAACCATACACACTAGGACTGCAGTACAGATGAAGGCAAAGTTTTGTTACAAACCTGTTATTAACATACAGTGAGAAATGTCGATTGTACAAAACTTACAGTGACTGACCTATGATTAATTTAAGATAATCCCAGCAATGCAAATACAACTCAGAACAGCTCAATTGTTTACAATTTTACAATTGTTATTAAGGTGGGAGACTGAGTTTTTTAGAAACAGTTTAGCTTGCATCGTCTTTTTTGATTAAAGCCTATATTTGTGCTTTAAGTATTCGCTGGTTACAAATCTGTTACATACCCAATTCTTCAGCACAGAGAAGTACTCCTTGGTGTAATCTCATCTGTCTCCTAGCAGCTTTCCTTTAGCAAGAGGCTGGGTTGAGCAGCTGCTTCTGCAGAAAACACTGTTGTCAGTCTTTGTTCTCCTTGCAGGGGGATGCTTTAGTAAGAAACAGCTGGCTGTATCCAGCATTGAAAATATTGTCAGCTGTGTTGCCTAGCCAAACTTGGGAAATCAAATTAGCATTTCCTGGCTGGTAATGTACTTTATGCCCAGTGGGTTGTTTAAGAGCATTATAAGTAAAAATCCATAATCGTTAACAGCAATGTTTAAACTTTATTGGGGAGCAGGGGATGGCAAAAATCAATGTAAGATGCTAGTTTTAAAGTTTCGGCTATGTTATATTTGATTACTGGGATATCAGTACAATGAACATGGAAGAATTTCAACAGTAATTTTGAAGAAGTTTCAGTACACCACGTTGTGAAGGGCTTTATAAAAGATTTTTGTTTCCAAAGATGTTATTGGGGTCCACATATTCCTTAACAGATCTCAGCATTCCCAGGCCAACATCAGAGATACTCTCCTTCATCCAGCGCTTCCGCAATTTGCCTACTGCAAAAACAAAAACAAAGAGTTTCAATATACGGCAGGATTCTAGGAGCCAATCAATCTTGTGACCATGAATGAATAAACACTGTGTGATAAATGCTTTTATTCAAAAATGAGAAATGTTTTGCTTTATTTGATTTATTGAGCCCACCAGACTATCAAGCTCATTAAGCTCTGCATACTCCCAGAGGAAGACTGTGTTCCACACTGTCTACTTTCTTTAGAAACTATGAAATTTAGATGAAGCTTAGGCTGAAATCACCCATTCTACTGAAATAGTGCTTGGTAGTAAGTTTTCAAAAGATGAATTTGGTAGTTTTTTTAAGTAGAAAACCAAATAAGACATCACTAAAAAGTAGAACTCCACACCTCTTGATTGATTTAAAGAATGTGCTCAAGAATCAGAAGCAAACTTAAAACAGTATTGGTTTAAATAACAAAAAAATATTTTCTAAAGAGAAAGCTTGAAGACTAGTTATCAGACACCAGCACATCTCGTTTTATTTAAAAAGCTCTGCACAGGCTGGCACTTGCAGACACTATTACACAAAAGCTTATTTTCCATGTTAAAATGGATAGTCACAACGAACACCAAACACAAAGCAAAGCTGAAACACTAGCCATTTAAGAACTCCTTTCACTACATTCTCACAATGGTTCTGTTAAATGGCCAAGTATTCATACACTAATTAACCAAGTCATCAACTCTGATTTAACAGATCGTGCAAAATATTGGCCATTCTTTCATTAAACATAGCATAGCATTTACCTTGTCAGCCTTACCTTGTCACAACTCATCTGTTAGTATGAAGTGATATAGTAAAGATTTGAGAGGCAGATACTTTAAGAGTATCTGAACCTAAATTCAAGCCACCTTTTGTGCCCTGTTCTCAGGGTAACCATCAAACTGTCATCAGAATAATAAATTACAGAGACACCTCTGGAGAACAGAGTATATTTGTTTATACCTTAAGGAATGAGCTAGTTAGAAAGCCAACTGAAAAAGCAAACGTGAGAAAGAAGGAAATCTGCAGAAATAGAAAGCAACTATTACCAGTATTCATGTAAAGAGCAAAGATTGTAACTGAAGGACAAAAACATTTTTCATGCAGTAGGACTGTGGTAGCCGAGCTCAAAAAAAACCAAAACAAAAAAACACAACCAACCACTCAGGTGCAAACATACCACTGTTACAATTTGACTGAGCAAGTTGATGTAGCTGCCTTTTATCTGGGGGAACTTTAATACTACCACACACAAAAAAATAGGAAAGAGGCATGGATGTGGTTTGTCCATCACCTCAAGCCTCTCTCACTGGCTCATATACAAGCAGCTGAAGAACAGTCATTACCATTCTCAACTGTTATCTGTAATATAGTTTCAGTGAATGTGTCCTGTGGTTATGGATGTAATTGTCCTGAAAAGACTGCAAACAACTGCTCCAACAAGATGGAGCACATTAGAGTCACAGCAGGATGCCCAACAGCTAGCATGCCTGCCTCTTTTACACCTCCAGTAATAATGCAATTCCACAAGGAACTGAACTGCTGTCTGAGCAGCACCAAACAGTCATTGCATATTTAATGAAGTCGCTCACCAAGTGCTGGAAAACAGAAGGTGCGTGGAGTGCATCATTAGCTCTGTCAAAGTGATAATTTACACATCTATCTTGTCAAATTTTCTATGGTTTATACTTTTGCAATAATAAATCTAACATACATTTGATCAGTGAACTGTGAAGGAAAAAAAAGTCTGTACTAGTTACAGTGGTCCTTCACAAACATTCAATGAAAATGTTCATGAAAATAAGATATACATGGATTTTTCAGCTATAGACCATGAAAAGCTTTGTGCAGATGAGATCACTACACAGAAAAGCAATATAATTTGTTTCACTTCAGGTTAGTTCTGCCCTTTGAGTATTCTTTCTTCCTCTTCTTGTAGGGCAATACAATCAATATCAAGAACGAGAAAAGGAAGAAGAAAATACAGTACCATTAAAACATGTTCCCATGGATGTAAAATGACAACAAGTAGCAAAGTTACTTAATTCTGTTAAGCCTGGCCAGAGAGCAGCTTTGGGCTCAAGGAAGTCCTAACCACTAAAAGGTCTCAGTTGAGCCTGATCCTACCATGGAATAGAGAAAACAACCCTTCAGTTTCTAGCCTATGGAAGGTAGGCCATTTACCTTTAAAGCCAAGAGGATGTAATTTATTTAAAACTGACAAGAGATCAAATTAATCTCATTTTATATCCTACATAAAACTTCATTAATAAAGATTAATTATTTACTCAGCACAACACTGTCGACCACTACAAATTGGTCATATAAGTACTATCCACACCATTATAACCCCAGTCCCTGTGGAATCAGCTAGTAACAAATGCAACTTCTCATTCTCTCATCTTTTTCCTCTAAAGACACCTAATCTTGCATCTTTAATTCTTGAAAACGAATGATGAGTGTAAGTATTCAATTTATAAAAGTAGCAATTGCTCTACTCCTGACACGTGCTAGGACCATAAACATTCACTGCTAGGAAGCTGGAATGTTTGCCAAGCATGACCCAGCACTCAAGACCAGTCAAATTCAATTTGAAGCCCCGCTTACTACACACAGTACAAACACCCCAGCATGGCAAAGAGTCTGCTTCAAACAAATCACATACCTCAAACCAGAAAGCCAACAAGGTTGTGCAGTAGCAACTCAAAAAGACAGTCAAAAAGCTGATTTCATTATCATTTTTTGGTTTTATTACCATTATAGACCATGTGTTAAGGAAACACATAAGCTGGAAAAAATGCTTTTTTGCATTTCTGATACATTCTAGTCCATAGTCACAAAGGCTATGTTTGCTCATCTTTGAGGATGCAGATGGATGGCTGCTAAGAATCTAGCTATGAATGGAGCTAGCAAACAGCAGGCAGCAATCAGTTTTCTCACTTAGGAAAATCAAGTAGTTGAGCATACATGAACAGGCTTGTAAGGGAAGTTAGTGTAGCTGATGGATCCAGGAATAGCTCTACCCCCAGCGCAGAATAGATTTACAGCCGTGTGTGGTCCCAAGGGAAATAGGCTCCAGTGGCACTACACATGGCCCTAGACTTCCTCTGCTCCAGTCCTTTCAACGAGAAGAGGCAATTACTGCAGAGCAATAGCTCTAGTAATTTCTGGGAAGCAATAGCTCTGCAGAAGGAGAAACAGTAACATGGGTCATAAGAAGGATGAGGCTCTTCCAGCTGCAGAATGCTCTTCTTGTAGCTGATAGTCTCCTAAAGGAAGTGATGTTGCTCTCTTAGAAATTGCTTTCCAGAAATTACTCTTCCAGAGAGAGTTCTGAAATACACTGAGAAAAGTCAGTGCATTAATCTAATACTTCAATAGAAGTTGAGGACTCAGAAAGTCTTTCGTATTTATTTGGAGAAAAAAGACACCAAACATGGTGCTTCTGTTTTCATCATCAATAGACTAAGGAAGAAAAATACGACTAAGTGATTATTTCACATAATTACGGTTTCCTCATGTCTGAAAACTGTCAGAGTTTAAACTTCTCATTCTAATTAACAAGTAAGCTCTTAACTTATAAAATTAAGCATGGTCAGTCTCCAGTCCTTAACTTGAAGATAAGAGGATACTTTTCTTGTATAATGAAAAGTCCATGTGCAATTCTAACTCTACCACTCCCCTAAGGAAATAATTCTAGATATTGTAGTCTGCTTGGATTACTGCAAAGTGCATCTTAAGACATGGCTTCCTAATGATACCACAGAATTGCAGTGTCGAACATGAAACTGACTGCACATCAGTTTTGCTCATCCCTTTCTCTTTCTACTGAGCTTTTCTACATAGATTGCCAGGAAACTGATACAATAACTCACATTTTTATAGAGCCTGGGTTATACTAATCTTTATTTAGTCAATTTGTCTAGAACTAATTTTCTTCTGCTTTCTATGATGTTATGTGCCTAAATGAATGTATTCTGCTAAAACTCACATGCTGATAATTACTTTCTTAAGTAACAATTTGTTAGTTAGAATATCACCTGCAATGGAAAGAATCTATTTTTAGTTCTGCATGGGTGCATAATTTGACAATACAGAAGGGATCAAGGCCAAATCCAGCCTGCTCCCTTCTCATGCTGTACTCTAAAGCAAAAATACTGAGGAGTTTTAACACTGAAGAGCTTTAATCAGTGATATTTCCTAAGCGAATGTTATTTTATGTATACATAAAAGCATACATTTTATCAAATAGCAATTCAAGAAAAACAAGTCCAGATATTCCACTCCAAAATACAAGTCACTGTTATACTGAAAGTTCATTACACTGATGTATATGTCTGGCATTCCTACAGCTTCTTGTGTCCATGAGATGCTTGCTCTAAGAGCATGGATACACTTCCGCAATTCCTTTACTGGAAAGTTCCTGTACTTGTATAGCAAAGCTGTGAGCTGTAACCCATCAACAAAAAAACGTTATGCTTCTTTTAAGGTTTAAACCTCAAAAACTGCCATAGGATCAGGAAATACTCTCGCAACACTGCTAACTGACTGAAAGTTAGAATATTTTCATTAGTTTGAGAAAAGAGAGAATAGACATTGGGATTAAAAAGAACCTGAACTTAAGTCTTTCTGAAATTAGTCTTAATATAAAATAAGGAGTGTTACGATTTTAGTTCTCCTTGTGCGTGGTAGCTATGGGCAGACCTGCAGTTAGTATTTTTCCAGCTGTAAAGTAATTTAGAGCTTTGCACATCTCAAACTGTCATATATGACCACTTCTCCACTCAGAGTGGATGAAGATTGACTTAAGCAAGCTTTGTATTTCCTATAGCCTCAAGTCCCAGACTACATCTGTTTTCTTTGATACACAAAACCAGAGTTAAAATAGCTCCATTTATCACAGCATGATTGTAGGCAGACAAACCAGCCTGTCTGCTCCCAGATAGTGAAAACAACTGTTATTAATCACAATTACAAGACAAATACTAAAATAAACTGCACCAGTATTTTCTTTTACCACCCCCACCCCCACCAGACTGATTTTAGCAGAGCTAGGAATGACAGGGCCTGAAGGTCAGTAAATAAAATTGATATTATTACGCTAATTTTCAGCAGCACACCTACTATGAACAGAAAAAAAAAAAAATCTTGTCTTGCCAGACACAAAAAGACTTAAAGCAGAAAAGATTTAGGAACAAGAGAAGTGTAACAGAGATCCAGTTTTCTAAATCTATTAAGTCAGAAAGCTCAAGTATGCAAGGGTATCAAAATGGTATACAAGTAATTTTTTCTTTTCCTTGAAAGCAAAATTTCAGATGGTGAGGGCAAATGCACTCAATCATGACAAGCTACAGCTGCATTCCAGTTAATGGATGAAATGCTAGTCACAGTAAAATACAGTTGCCACAGCAGGAGAGAGCACAGTAGCAGATCAAGAGGGTAATTTCACATCCATGTTTTGAGAACTGACTGGCCCACTATAACACTATAGCAAAAATTAATCAGAAAACAATACATGCATATTAAAAATACTGAAACTGTTTTCACTTATGTTTTCAATATTTACACACCTTCCAATATTCTGATATTGCAATTTCCATCACAAAGATGCATGCCTGAAACAGCCCTAGATATAAGTTTCAAGCCCTGGAATTCACCAATGTGTTTTAAAACACTGTTTCTACACTTCAGTTTTTCCCCCCAGGGCGCTTTCTTAGAATTATATAATTTTTATTTCATTTTAAACCATTAGATTTCTTACTCTTTGCTCTTATTCCTGTTGCTGGGCAATGCTCCAAAAGAGTAGAGAAGAAATTTATTTTAAATCAGTTTAGAGAAGTTAGCTACACAAATCAAAAGGAATTCAGAACAAATCTTCCTGACATTTGAGTTTACAGCATTACGTAGTAGGAACAGCAAATTAATCAGGCTACCTGAATACGTGGGAAAAACATACGTAAGTTATCAGAGTAATATTCTACATTTAACTGATTCTAAACCGTACCATTAAAGCAGCTTGCAAAGAAACTAGTAACACATTAAAAATTATTTTCAAACCACAAGAGAGGAGACCGAATAATCAGATGTTAGCAGACAGAAATACAGTTAATATGCATAGTTCAGCTAAAGTGTCAAGCAATTTTATGCAGATATTATCACTAGGTGGTTTGGAATTAAGGGTAAACAGTATTCGCCTAACTGCAAGGGGCATTAAGTTGCTCTTCTTAGAGCTGTGAAACTTGTCTATGTAAATGAATATGCTCCTACACAAGGTTCAGTAGAAGCTGCTTATAACAAACTTACAAACTACCTTTTCAGCTTTTCAGATAGCCTACAGATCTACCAAAGGAATGTTTTGAGACTGCTATTCATAAATACATCATGCTGTGCAAGCAGACCAGGACTAGTGATGCTTCTGCTGAACATTTGGTAAAAGGGTGTTAAAGGTGGTAAAAAGGTAAAAGTTTCTTGAGAGACTGACAAAATATATTTGGAGTAATTTAAAAATATTTTGAATGCATTAAATGAAATGCTCTGTTTAAAACTATTTGATGTATTCATGTATACTTACTAGTTTAAAAAAGATTAACATATATGAGAATAATACCTCCATGGTGATGTGACAGACTTCCTCCATTGGCAAGTATTTCTTCTCGAGCAGCCCTCTAGATGGGAAAGATAAGACGTTTGACATTAAATGCACAAGATGTTTGGTTTTAGTCAAATGCTTGCTATAGTAAGCATTTTAACAGGTGTATGAAAAAAGTCAGAAACATGTAGGGTACACAATAAAAGTGAACATTTCATCTCAAGTCTGCAGATGAATTTAAGTAGAAATTTTCCAAATGAACCCTATAAAAGCCAAGATATTTCAAAGCACATCTGTTACAACAAAACTATTGTTCCAGAACAGAATATTCTGGATCACTTTCCACTTGCCAAAACTAAATTAGTCTATCGGCCTGGGGAGCTCATCTAGAGGATGGATAAATGCCTACTGAAAAGGAAACAAATTCCCCAGAGTGGCTGAAGTTACTCATTCAGAAAGGAATTTAGATTCAGATTTTTCAAGATTCTGGATGACAAAGTAAGATACTTTAGAAATGACTACTCTTTTGTGCATGAAGCTTGTGGCAAAAAAAAAAAAATATATATATATATATATATATATATATATGTATCATTTTTTTTTCCTATGTTGATGAAGAAATGTTTGAACACTTTCATGCTAAAATACTAACTTTGCACTGCTTGGTACCCTGTTTAAGGTCTACTTCTCCTAGCTGCTGATACCAAAGTTTTATAAGTAGATTATTACGATTTTTCCTACAAAACTCAGTTAGCTTGGCCAACAAGTTTGGCATACATTACAGAATATTAACTTCCTTAACTGGCACACTTATATACTTTACCTCAATTTCTTCATAGACATGAATAGGATCACTAATCCCTCTATAGTTAAAGGCAAAGTAGAAATAGACACATGCACCTGCATCGTAAGTTTGTGTCACCCTGCAGAAGAAAACTGCATTACAAACACAGCTTTATGGTGTGGTAAAATCAGCCATTATATCATGCTACACAACTCAAAGTTACTCACTTCATTTTTAAAGGGTAACTTAAAACAAAAAAAAGGTTTGGTTTTGCACGTACTTCATAAGAGTGAATCAGTGTAAATGATTTCCAGAGAGTTAAGGTTCTGAAATTAGCCTTATTTTGCTAGTATACACCAGAGAGTCAAAGACAAGCATCAAGACTAGTGATGTGCCACTAATCCCTTGAAATAATTACTATTACATGTAACCTACTTGGTCAAGATGAGTAGTGTTCGTTCTATCATTAATAGATGACTATCTACTAGGTAGCAAGTGTAGGGACCTCTTAATTGGGTTACTAATAACAGATTCTAGAAATGGAAATATTTGAGTCATTCCATGGCTTACCTGCAGGTGGAAAAGGGAGCAAATTGAACACCCTTTTCTTTGCATTCTCTCACTATCCTTTCCTTCACATTCCTACACAGGTCTAAAACCCTGTAACAGAAAACGTATTGAAATATCAAGTCTTAATAAGATTTTACACCATTTTATAGAAAAAAACAACCACAAACATGTAAGTGAATCTTCAGAACCTTTTTTTTTGGTAACATATATAATCCAAGATGACTGCCCTCTAAAACCAATTTCAACCACTTTAGATTTTATTCTGAGAATAAAACAGCCCTCCATTAAGACACAACAAGCATTGCTCTTTTCGTACATCTCCTGAATAGTAAATTTACCCTGAATTAGAGCACAGAATGAAAGCTCTTTTCCATACGGAATAGAAGTCAAAAGAATTCAACAGGAAACAGAGCTTACCACTTCTCTGTCTAAACCTAGTATCCTCAGCAAAAGAGCCTTAACTGTAGCTCACAAACACAACTCACAGAAAGCTAGAGAAGTGCAAGGCCTTGTACATTCTGGCATACCTTTGATAAGTTGCAAGGCAAGAACTAGAGACTGCACCTCTGTACTACTCCGCCAGCTTGAAATGTTATCAGTTTAATATGGCAGTGAGTTATTAAATCTTGCCATAAGCCGCATTTAATTCACTTTTAGAAATTCATCTTCCCTTCACACCCACCTCAGCAGACTCAGGCACATTCGAAGCATTAAAAAAAAAATTCAAGAACATATTTTTCAAATTATCATTTCTTTAATTATATATTCTCCCTCTAAGGTGTGCAGCACCATCCATGCTGTGTAACTTGATTTTTTAAAGCATTTTATACAGACATAAAGCTACTCTGCTTTCTGACATAAGTTATATACGAGAGAAAATAATCCACTCAATGGATTAGCAATAAAGTATCCTTTTCAAATATATTCAGTCAGGTACAGGTACCTGATTTGTGAAAAAACTGCATAGCTCTTATTATTCAAAGTATAAAAAGGTCTTGGAAGCATTCACCTTGGTAAGCACAACTTAAGAAAAATATTTGAAATTCTTACACAACAACTCATTCTTTCAGGTAGAACAAAAACAAACTCACGGCTAACAAGTGAGTGTACTTCAAGACCTATAAAGTTGAAGTAAAATAAACAACAGTTTTGCTTTAAAAATCACCCTTCTCAAGTTTCTCCCAGTCATTCCGACTCTCCCAGTCTTCAAAGCAGAGGCCAGATTTTACCACTACCACTAAATTTAGTAGCAAAGATACAAGGTTACCAGCTCACATCACAGTTTCCATAGTCTCCTCTTTGCATTAATGACAAGGTTGCATTAAAATCAGTTTAGATTCTGCTTTAAGAGGTTTCTGGCTTACCAAATGGCATGTTAACCTGAACAGAAATATTACTGAATACTTGCCTACACTGCATTTAGAAAATCCTGATACATAATTTACCAGCAACTTTAGCAAGAACACAGCTGTAAGATTTGAGGCACATCAGGGAGCCTCCAATACACATAAGGCTTAAATTAAATTAAGTTTCCTCTTGAGCAAGCACAAGTTAGGAATAATTTCAATGAAATCAGGTACAAGGTTTTAAGCAATACTGAAGAATAATCAGTTTACCTATCCCAAGGAACAGATGTCTCAAACGACTCTCCTATTACATAGTAATCCAGGCCCAGATCCTAATAAACAGAGAAAGGAAATTATCAGTAACATTGAGCACCAACATCTGGGATTCCAGTGTAGGATACACAGCTAGCAGCTGAGCAACTTTGGATTGCTTAAGAAAGAAAGTCTATTTTGCAAAAACAGCCATCTGTCCCAGTGACACTAGTTACTAGTTATAGAAGTGGTATAGCTCTCTTGAAACAGTTGACATTTTCATGTCACGGCTAAAAAACAGCTTGCCAGTGTCTGTATGCCACCACTAACAAATATTTGTACTGCTAGCACCAATCCAAAAGCTCCACTGTTCTAATCAGCACCATGTCTAATAGAATTAGTTATTTGAAACTGAAGTTCTATCCAGGATTTAAGTTCTACTTAGGAAGCGTAAAGACAAGAAACATTCAGCCCATTTTACCTACAGCCTGCTGAAATAAAATGAAATTCAGTCCCAAACTAGAGGGGCCAAACAAAATGCAGTGCTAAGGACACCCATAATATTCTTTAAAAAAAAATAAAAAATAAAAAAAAAATCATTTCAACCCATAAGATTCAGAAAAGCAGCTGCACCAAGTCAGACTGAAATTTGTTCACCCTGAAATTCTGGAATTCTCATTCAAACTATGGCTATAAGTGGATGTTCAGAGTAAGAGCTGAGCGATCACATATAAATTTTGAGTATTCTCCCAGCTCAGACTGATTTCAACCTGTGGATTGATAAGTCTGATCTGGTTTATTTAGCAACTGTCAGTGAATCCTCCAAGTTACTCCTTATAGGTAACTTTTTTTGTTGTTTAAACGTACAAATTTATGTTTATAAGGTATTTTGCAGAAAAGTTCCATGAGTAAACACTACAGAATTAGAGCTGGAATAGATACAATCCTCTAAGGAGAAGTTTAATTAAGACAACATCCAAGGCAACCTGCATTTTGAATTCAGGAAGCATCTTCAAAGATATCTTTCGGTTTTGTTTTATTAATTAACACAAGTTTCAGTTGGAGACAAGAGGTAACCTACCCGAAGGTAAGCAATGACAAATGTCAGCATATATCCTCTCTGTCCATTATCTTCTCCAGCTGCCAAGCCACTGCAATTAAGGAATTTAATTAACTTTCCAGCATAGTATTCAGAAGTTTCAAAAAATAACCAGAAAACCAACATTTTGATTCTGAAACATTTGTGCAAGTTTATCTGTCTCTAAGCTGTATCACATTAGCTGCAAACAGACTCTTTGTAAACACAGGTACATTTTCTGTCCTTTGAAATGCTCAGAGAGAAGGAAGTTGGGTACAAGAAAGAAAAAAAAATAATCAGGAAAAGCAGTCAATTTTTGTAAGACTAACTTTGTAGTGTAGTTATCATAATCAACATGCTTCACACTATTCCTTCATGAGATATCTGAAAGCAAGACTTTTCCTGTTTTGTTTGTAACTGCACTAAGCACTAGCTTAGCAACAGAGAAAAGAGCACTGTTTCCAAACAAATGGAAAAGCACTGTTGTTTGACCTTTGCTTTTATTAATTTCATGACCTAAAAAACATTAACAGCTCACAGTTCAGTACATTTACTGCAGATACAGTAAGATCACATACATAAGAACAAAACTTTCTCAAGGAGTGCTAAACGGCAGTCAGATGAAAATTGCATTAACAATCTGAGAACAAGGGCAGTATATCTTTAGCTTGTCTTCCTAGATGGTACTCTAAATCTGAGCAGGTTATGTGAGTGGAAAAAAAAAGATAACCTGGTTACCTTCCAGACATGAAACCAGAAAGTTAAAACATTAAACAGATAGCTAATATAGCCTGAACTGAGTAGCACAGACAGCGCTTCCTAACAGGCTACTAACACAGACCACTTCCCTCCCTCCATCCCCCATATTCACACCGTCCAGAAATAGAGAGGACCTGCAGATGAGACCTTTTGCTGCATACAACATTAAGCTGTAACACTCATAAAGATAAACGTAATTCTTATCACTGAAAGGTAGCAAGCTGCTCATGTGAAATCCCATTTTTGTAAATCATTTGAAGTGGTAGAATGAAAGAACAAGTTTCAGAAACGATGACCTTGAAATATAAGACATCTTGTATATGTTAATAGTTGAAACTAATACTGGCAAAAAATTTTCTTCAAAAAGTACATTCTTACAAATGAGACTTCTAGTTTTCAACACCATTATAATCAAAATAGAACTACATGATCATTACTCAGCCTACCACTGTAGTGAAGTATTTCCCGTTTCATTGGAAAGATAAAAATAAAAAGTCTGTAGGACAGAGAGATTCAGCACATTCTTCAAACTACACAAACTCCTCTTTTAAATAAGCTTTCTATATTTATTTGCTTATATCAATTCTGCAAAGAATATTAACCTTTGCAATTTTGTTTCTCTTCTTTATTCAGAATCTATAATTCAGTACTGCAAAGCAAGCAGCTTCCAGGCCTGTAAATAATTACAAGGGCTAGTTTCCATTCTAACAACACCAGTTCTAAGTCAAATACTTGTCTTGGTGCAGTGTACAGACAGCTGAAGTTTTTTCATAAAGCTACCTTTTAAGAATTAGCACAAGTCATGTTTTTCAAAGGGAACACTCAGTAGCTGATTGTTCCCACTTCAAACTTAAATTGAGAAGAGATTTACACGAAAATTGCAACGTAAATACAGTAATCTTGTTGCTTCTTGGATAGTTCCATTTGAAAAGTTTTTTGAAATCACATACCCAAACTTGGTGGCAATGTCATAGACTTGTTTTTCATGCTGAAGAACCTTCTCTCTGTCACCCTCAAAGAGCAAGGTAGCTACACATAGGATGTTGGGATCAAATCCTTTGAACTGCAGAGAGAAAATCCTTGCATTATGTCATCGCCTGTGTGGCAGAACACAAGCAACAAGTTTTTGCTTTTCATGTACACAGAATTCCCTCTGGTCTGTAAGCACTGTTTACTGTTGTTGCAAGTAAGAGAAAATATCAGGAAGATACACTTTTCAAAAAATTTATCCCAAAAAGAAAGTAAGATTTTTTCTTGACAGGACAAACAGTTACAGCTACTGAAATGATAGAGTTGGTGTGTCACCTCTTTTTCTCCTGTCCTAAATAAATAAATAAATATTTTCTATACACATGTTGATTATTAATTAGCTCCAGTAAACTACCACTACTGAGCAGGTTTCAGAAGGAAAGGAAATGAACAGGGACATTCAGGGTCAGGCTGGACAGAGCTCTGAGCAACCTTATGTAGCTCTAGATGTCCCTGCTCATTGCAGGGGAGCTGGACTAGATGAACTTCACAGGTTCATTCCAACTCAAACAAGTCTATGATTCTATAAATATAAAGCTGCAATAAAATTTTATTACCTTTTCACACTTACAGAGGGTTTAAAAAAAATCAGGAACAAAGTACTCTTAGTATATATACTAAGAAATGATTTTTTCAACTATTATTTTGTAAAAGCCCCTTCCCCTTTCCAGTGGTGTTCATTGCTCCCAGTCTCCATTCTGTTTGTGGTAATTTGTTATTTAAGCACCAAACCAGATCGTAAGAAGAAACATTAACAGCCAAGAGAGTTAAATTCATCCTTTGTGTCCAACAGTCAAGTCAACATCAGTTACTTGCTATTCCACTTAGCATTTCCTTAACTGAATACATTATCCATGCTGCAACTTAACCAGAGGTAACAGGAGGGCCCAATAAAGCAGCAAGGAGGCAGAGCGTCTTAAGGTGGCTCATTCCTTCAGTGAATGACCTCAGATCCATATGGTGATGTCAGCCTGAAATTTCCAAATCAGAATTTCTGAAGAGGATATTGCATCCTACCACCCCAAAAGAGCACCATGAGAACTGTAATTTGAAAGGCTATACCCTCATAGGCAACGAATCTCTCACTCATTAAAACAGCAAAAGCAGCAGAGACAACTTAAATAAATAGAATTACTACAGTGATAAATTCTAACCATGGGAATAAAGGTCTATTAGAATGCCATTTTATAATCCCTTCTCATTCTAGAGCTATTTGCATTTCGTCTAGTATGAATCCTTTCTTCTGTTCTGCTGTCTTGACTGTCATGCTCAGGAAGCACTTTACAATCTTCTGGAAGACTCATGGGAGGAACTAGCTACAGTGTGACCTGGTAGACACAAACGATACCTAGAGCACTTCTTATTAGTAAACAGTCCCAAACCATAGGAAGTATAAACCAGAAAGATTTTGTGCCTATTCTTTTAAGCAATAACTTTCACAGGACTGCCTCATTCGGTAAAAAGAACAGAAGTGAGCCTGACGTGTTCTGATGTTTGCTTTTTTAAAAGAGCTTAAAGTAAAATATTATAGCCAGTGTATTACAGCCAATCAATGGCATACTTAAGAAAGAAACTAAGTCACACAATGGAAGTCTTCATACAGCAAGAGACCACAAAGTTTATCACTAACTGTAAAGAGCACAACATGATTTACAGGGCCAATCTGTAGATAAAGTAAATATGATATGAACTCAAGATCATTAAAACTGTTTTCTCTACTCCAGATGTGTTAACAACAGAGCTTGAGTTTGTTTCTTTTCTCAAAGCGTTCCTTCCCTCTTGCAGAGCTGGAAGGATTGGAATTGACACAGAAATCCCTTGGTAAGCAGTGGTGCTTGTTGCCAACAAAGAAGTAGGTTTGACTATGACTGTTTCAAACTGACAGCAATTCTATTGCCAAAACCTTTATACCTGCACTACAGAAGCTTAGGGAGGAGATGCAAAATAATTTTGGGGTTGTTTCTGAAAACAATAGATAATCCTTTGCAAAAGGAAGTCACCAAAAGATTCGTGGCATTCTTTACTTCAGCAGTACAAGAAAAAGGAGCAGAAACTGCTCAAGATCATCAACACAAGCCACTGGCTTTCAAGAAAGGCCACTGCTTGAAAACATTCAATATTATCAGGTCAGAATTCAATGTACACCTCTTCTCTCTACCTGAAAGTTATTTAAATCCAAGACAACACCATTTGAATATGCATATTTGCAGGAACTCCCTAGTTGATCTTGAAAAAAATAACATGAAATTTTAGGTAAAATCATCCTGGACTAAAAAGTGGTATTCATCGGGATGAATTTCAGGAAGATGGGAACCATATTTGTATGGCAGTTCAAATACTGTGGGGCTCTTCCAAAATTCTAGTCTAGCATGATAATTAAGCAGATCACACCTTCAAAAAAATCTGAGAAGAAATTGAAATACTAGCCTCAATCCATCAGGACTAACTGATGATCATTTAGTCCTTGCTCTGTCACCTGTTCACTGTTAGAGAAGATACTTTAATTTAGGGATACAATTGGTGAAAACATCTGTGAGAACATCTCTCATGGAGTAACTCCTCAAGCAGATCATCTCATTTTGGATTAAACTACTTGAGATTCTCTAGCTGATTCTACATCATTATACAGAAACTCAGAGCTGCATTAGAGACAGTATACAGCAGTCTCAAATTCTAGGGATAGCATGCAAAGTTCTAAGCAATATTAAACCCTCAAATACTTACCTTTGTGATGTAGAACTTTTTCAGTCCATCCAAAAATGATGTAAAAATGGAAGCAACTTGTGGTTTAAGAGCGTGACCTTTGGAAAAAAGCAGAAAAAAGCATGTTAAAGCACTCCATATTCTTTACAATTGTTACTTCAAAAGGGCAAAAAAATAGCTTGGAACATAAAGTTGTAAGAATCATTTGGAGCACTTTGATTATCATAATCAAAGGAACCTTTCACAACTAATTTAGGAGAAACTTTAAGAAAAGGTTTTTATTAATTTTTTAAGAGGCATACATGCAACTGTGCACAAATATTCCATTTGACACTTAATTAAAGCTGTCCTAGTTTAGATCTTCACAAGTATTCTGCATATGGAAAATTTAGAAAGAGCACTTCATTAGTTTCATGCTATAAAACTAAGCAAAACCACTGACCTTTTTCGTAAAGTTATGCCAAAACCATTGAAACCAATTGCAAAAAAAACGGTACAAGTTGGGAGTTAAGCAATTTTTTCCTTAATGGTTATGTCATTGTGCAAAATTTTCTACATAAAGTTAGTAATTGCTTCCTTAATCACATATGGAGAACTAAAATTACCAGGGTACATAAATGGTGTCTTGGAGTCTGTTAAATTAACATCTCTGCCTCAGGACTAAGTTAAATTGAGATGAAAGCCTTTTACTGTTTGTTCCATTGTTTTCAGTCACAAGCAACTTCTGAACTCCCATTACTGCTTCATTTTAACAATCTCGCATCTGGTCTACACGCTGTGAGCCCAATTCATAAAAAAAGTTATGCACCATTTACATGATACTTCCTTCTAAAATACTTCACAAAGTATTTCCCCCTGAATAAAGCATGAACTTCAGTACTTCATTAGTCTCCTTTCCTCTTCAGTAAAGAGAGCTCTCACTGAAGATGAGTGAAGCCCAAGAAGTATGCCTCTAAGCACACTAAAGTGAAGACACAAAAAAGCAGCAGATAAGAAAAGGGCGTTAATTTATTAAACCACAATCCATAAAAACTGATGATAATTCTACCTAATAAAACCACAAGAAAAATTCAGAGGCACCTTGGGCATCTTTTACTGCAAAAATCGCAACCCCAGGTCAAAGCCAAATCCAGTGTTGGATTTGAAGCTTATAACTGGTCAAACGTTTTCCCAATTGAAAAAAAGGCATCCACTTTCTATTATAAATGTTTGTGAGAATGAGTACAACAGAAAAAGATGACCAAATCAAGCAGCAGTGCTTACTAGGCTCTCAGGTTTACAGATATGTCTATTTCCATTTGAAACAAAGTTCAGCTTTCTCATCATCAGATTAATGCCAGTTAAACTCAATATTTGTTACAGAGGATTCTGTCCGAAACAGATTTCAGAAACTCTGTCTTGTTTTAATAATATTAACAGAAGATTTTAAGGTCAGGCTCCACATTGTAATCTGTGCACAATCAAAATTGTATGGCCTCAGCAAGTGCTTCAAGTTCCATTACCAGTAGCTTTCCGGGTAGTAGAACTTCAGAGGTTCTCAACAGTGTCTTCAACCAGAAGATATCTTTTAACGAAGCTTCTACTGTTGAAAATGACAGTTTCCCTTAAGAAGGGCTCAAAAATGACTGCTCTGCATGTCTGACCTTGTCCAAATTATTTCTCTGGATTTTGTAATATTCTAGTAGCTTCACTGACTTTAACCTTGTATGGGAACTGCTGAATCACAGCCTGAACCTCTGACTGACCACCTGAGGCGAGCCATGAGCAGCCATGGGAGCAGGGGTGAAGGCAATTCAGCTGTGCTGCCGGAAGGGGTGGAGCCTGGCTGCACCTCTCCTAGACCCATTTAAAAGCTCATTACCAGTGAGAAAGGATCTCTTCTAGAGATCCACTCTGCTGGAGTTTTCTATGTGAGCCCAGGGTACGGGTGAGTGTACCTATCATTTCTGTCTCCTGCTTTAGCACAACAACTACGTAGCCAAGCTCTCTGCTATACCATAACATCTGTATATTCATTAATTGTACAACCCTATAGCTTAGTTCTGTTTGCACACATCTAAACACAAAAAAAACCCACCACCAGCAAAATAAGCCCTCATTTTTGACAAGTTCCATTGCTCCTCCTCCCCTTCAACTCCCCCCCAAACAACCACTGCCATATTGGAGAATTTTCAAAATAAACCGCTACTTCTCAGGAACACAGCCAGTGATGCTATTGGGAAATGCAGACCAACCTATTTCAACCAACTAACTTAACTGCAAAATAAGATGCCTGCCTTCTGAATCTCACCCTACTCTGATACCTGACCTGTCATTAATATTCTTCACAACAAAATGTTTCAAGAAGTATACTACAAAACTATCAATTCTACTCCTTCAGAGTAAAATAGAAACAGTATCTCCAGAATTTTAACCTTCTCAGTAGGCTATGCATTTTTAATGGAAGGATTGCAAAAAATCTTATGCATCCATATATGCAGCATGGCTTTCTATTATTGTCAGTAGCATTTTTCCAGAGACAGACAGACTTCCATTTCTGAAAGTACAAGTTATAACATTAGGAATTTCAATGTAGAGATCATCACCTTCTTTGTGTAGCTTTGAGGAAATTAATTCCCAAATAAGATGGACTTTTTAAACTTCTCTATAAAAAGAAAAAAAAAAAAAATCAAAGCCCTTGGAAAAGATATTCATCCGAGAAAATCTACTTACCAAATTGAAACTGTGCATTGTCAACAAGGCGAATTGATGCAGGAGCACATCTCTTGGGGGCAGTTGGGGAAAGAAGAAAAATAAAGGATAAATAGTCTATGAACAGATGTACTGAAACTCATGACAGTGACATTTTCATTTAAAAACAGCATACAAGAAATAAATTTGGTATCAGAGGTCCGTGGCCATTATCATCACTATAAAAACTGGTGATGATAAACTCGTTTTCATTTGAGAAGCAATTTCTATTAGGAATGTTTTGATATAATGCATTGAGAATATTCAGTTTAATGTCAAACCAACACGGACATAGTCCCAAGATCTTTGACTGTGATGCATAGAGTGCATTTCTAAATTGCCATCATGCACTAAAATATCATATTTGATTAGAGTATCAAGCTGATAGTGCTATGCAATCATAAATACATGTCATTACACATCACTGAAAAGTGTTTAATTGTTCCTAGTTAACTCCTGTAGATGGCTAAATAACACAGCTGCTCACTCGCTTTCCTCCAAAAAGATAGAAGCAAGAAAATGTGTGGGTTGAGATAAAGTAAAAGGGGGGAAAAAAACCAAACAAACCACCCCAAACAAGAAAGGAAAACAAGTGATGAAAAAGCAATTGCTCACCACCAGTCAATCAGTGACCAGACATTCTCCAAGCAACAGTAGCCCCTGAAAAACTTCCCACCAGTTTTATTGCTGACCTTGATGTTACGTGGTATGGAATAGCTGTTCCTTTGATTTGGGTCAACTGTTTCAATTGTGTTCCCTCCAAATTTTTTGCTCACCTACAAACTACTTGGAGAATAGCACGAGAAATGAGCCTTGTCAATGCATAAGCACTGTTTAACAACAGCTAAAACATCAGTGTGTCATCAACACTGTTTTGGTCACAAACCCAAAGAATATCACCATATGGGCTGCTATGAGGAAAAAACTTCATCCAACCCCACTACACTAATGTTCTGTGAACAGATAACAATGACAGTCTGTGTCTGGACTGCACTGCACAAAAATCTGGAGACCAGTAAGAGTAGTTGCCTTCAACTAACATCCTTCTGGGTGATATGTATATGTCCACAGCCTGTAACTTGAGATGGCAGTGTCCAATCATGCAGTATGTGGCCATAGAAATACAACAAAGTCTGAATTTTAGGCTAGCCTTCATCTAATCACGTGGATATAAAAGTATTCCCCTATCACTTAATTTGATATGTTCACTCTGTATCATATTGTTAAAGCATACTTTGTCACACAACTGCAAAAGAGAGCAGAAGGAAGAAATAAAAAAATCTTACCTGGCAGGCTGATAAAAAAAAAAAAAAAGGCTGGATGAGAGGTTTTATTGACCCTCACCTAGCCTACAACCTTCAGGTTGGTTATTCTTATGTTAAAAACTAACAAAGAAAAAAAAAACAAACCAGTTTTTCAGTAGGACATCATTGTAATTGCTACAAGAAGACGCCACAAGAAAGGAGTAAGTAGTTCAGGCTTAAATAAGCAGTAAAACAGTAGCAGCAACAAAAGCTTAGTAACTGAGCAACCTAAGTGGCTAACACTGTTTTTTGTTTTTTTTTTTTTTTATTTCTAACCCCTTTCTTGAGGGAAAAAATGCTAGGCTCCTTTATTGACTTAAAATGTTGATCGATTGTACAATTAAGCATTCCTAGGTTGCTTAGATGCCTGTAATAGAAAGAACAAGCACCAGCAGTAAAAGCATGTGACAGAAGAACCGTGCTGATAACTAGCATATACATGTCAGTCACATACCAGTTTGAACAACTGGCTTGGAACATTAAATCATTAATTTTGACCCATCAGTGGAAATACATAAAGCTTTATTTAGTTTGGCATTACCTAAAACATTTCTGATATTACTTCCAAAATTCAGGATATATATTCCTCCATTCACTGAAGTGATTTAGTACATTTTGCACAGTGCCAAGGAAAGTTAGTCTGGAATCGTAAAAGAGGCTAGCCAGTGCAAGACTTGCCTGGAAGCACAGGTGTTGAGAAAAGCATTACATAATTTGGATACCAATGTCCAAGTTTTGCTATCTGAAACCCACTTCTCTATTGTCTGACCATGCTGTTCAGAAGGCTCTCCTTAAACGCTCAAGTCTAAGTACAGTTCTGCCTCAGAATATCCAGCTCACTTGAACACAGTGCTGCACTTCAAGAAGCATTGTCTGCACCCTGCATGACTGTTGTTCCTTTATCAGTTTGGAATCAGAAATCAACTGCTCTTGACTTGTCTGCTGCAACTTAATTTCTTTAAATACTGGTCGCTTTTACATACTTGTGAGTAAATCTCCAGATAAAGCTCCCACTGAAGGAGATAAAAAGCCAATCCTTTACCGCATCATTGCCAAAAGCCTCAGAGGCCATATATATTCAAATCATTCATATTATCTCAACTCCTTTCCAGTAATCAATAATCAAGATTAGAGCATCAGCACACTCCTAGTCCTAGGCCCTGGACAAGGTTAGAACTAGTGTACTTGCATGGATTCAACTTGAAGCTTCTCCTTACCTGCTTTGCCACTTCCCTTAGGCAGGCCACCCCTCGTTCAAAGTTGGGGAAGACCACAGAGCCATATTTCTGGTATTCAGGAAGAGGCCGAATCTTTACCGTAACTTCAGTAACCACTCCCAGAGTTCCTTCAGGAAAAAAAAAGAAAAGCTCACTTGTAAAGTAATACAAGATGCAATTCTTGCAAATCACCCAACAACTGGTTAGCAGGATGTTCTCAGTTAACACCAGTTACAAGTGCCAAAAATTCAGTACTGCAGTAAAAGAGAAACTTATTTCTGATAATTTACACAGTGAATTCCTACAAGCAGCCTTTAAGTCATGATGTTTGTTACTAGATGCATATAATCACTCCACAGATCTGTTTTAAGCACTGTTCAGTTGCATAACTTCAGTCCTAAAAAAAAAAAAGAAAAAAAAAAGCCTCACTGTTGGGATAATTCCCAACACTCACAGAAAAAAATAATGCCTGCAGAACACCACCCATAGACACACTGGAAGCCACAGCATTAAAAGATGCTCAAATGAGCAAGACATTACAGAAGCTGAATTAAGCGCAGTTACATGAAATTACCTTCAGATCCCATAATGAAGTGATGGATATCAGGTCCTGTTGACATGCGAGGTACTTGACAGTTTTTTTCAACTATTCCTCTGGGAGTTACCATTTTTATATGAATCACCTGTTTAAACAATAAACAATGACTATACATACCAGCATTAACCATAGATCTTTTTGTATGACATTTATTTTCTTCAAGATGCATGTTACGCTTGATGCAGTTCAGCGCTGCAGACTTTATACATTCTGTAGGCAGTCCCAGAAACTTTTGGGATAACCTGAGGACCATTACCAACAGTTGTTGTTAATACAGCATGGTTTGCCCACACAACAGATTGCTCCAAATTCTATGCCAAATCAAATCAATTGTTGGCCGTATGCAGACAGTACCAACTAAAACTGCTTTTTTTTTTTCCTTAGCATGGGCAGTGCTCTCCTTGAACACCAGCATTTAAATTCAGAACATGTGATACTTCAGAAGGAAAAAGAAAAAAAAAAAGGACTTGCAGCAGAAGAATGTTCTTTCTCACTTAAGTTTTCCATTAGAACTGCTACTTGATGAAGCTAATCTAATTCAGAAATCAGCTGTGACAGAAATACTTCTAATAGGAAGAAGAAAATCTTTGTGAAACACACTGTCAATATTATGTCTTCCATAAGAATGATACATACGTAAGCTATTTTCCCCCCATACTATTCAATTCTTTCTTTAAAAAAAAAAAAAAAAAAGCAACAAAAATCCTTCCTTGGTGTAAGTGAACCTTTCAAATATAGACAAATCAGTGGGATTTCAACTACTGCCTTTAAAACATTCAGGTAACGGAGTAATTTTCATTCTGTTCGAGAACTGCATTATACACATTTTATAAACTGTTGATTCTGCAACAAGTGGATTTTAGGGAGCATACCTAACATTGTTTCTAGATATAAAAATTTCTCAGATGGTAAACACTTGCCCAGAAACTTTCTCACTGTTACATCAGGAAGCTCATAAACTGCTCTGAATCAGCTTTGAAACCAGTTTTCTCCTAATGAAAATTTCAGAAGCTGTATTTTAGCCTCAAGTTTTGCTCCCACGACAGAAAAGCCTTCTGTACTTCATATCTTTCTGCACAAGCAGAACTATACCACACTGTAATGCTTCAGGCAGTAGGGTACAGATGATACTTCATTAGTGCTAGCAGTTTCAACAAGACATACTGAATAAAAACTATATTTTCCGCCAAGTTAATTCACTGATAGTAAAGTGTCATGTCAGTCCACAGAACAAAAGTGTTTCTGAATATAATGTGATGAAAAAGCCTCAGGTGATAGGAGATGCACTACAAAATGTATGTTGCAAAAAAAAAGAAGGGAAAAAAAAAAAAAAACAAGTAAAAAAGGGCTACCATGAGGAATAAGTTGAAGTTCAAATCAAAGAAGCAGAAAAATCTGAACAGTGATGATTTCATTTCAATATATTCACTGTAACAGAAAAAGTAGACTTAATTTAAAAAATGTTTTAGAAATAAAATTTATTAGCATTAATATAGAGATGAGCCATTTTAATGCTTCAAACAATTAAGAGTGTAATACTGCCATTCCTGATCCCTTGCTTCCTTCCTCATTGCCTCACTGCTCTGATATACCATGCAATAGGATTACAGTTCACTCTAGTTTGCACACAGGGTCAATTAGGCTAGTCTACTGATTTGAAAAAAGCCTACTTAGATTAGGGAAGTGAGATGGTAGAAAGAACTAATCATTGGCTGTCAGTGTGAACTGATTTCAGTGGACAACTTTAAGAATAGTAGGAAACAGCATGCAAAAACCCTACAAATTTAACAGGATTATTACACTGAGATTAGCAGAGAGTGTGAACAGTGGAAGAAAGCAACAGGGTAAGATAAATCAACACAATTCCTTAAGCTATCTAGTAAATATCAAACTGAAACTTTCAGATTAACAGTAATATTTACTAGTAATAATACCAAAAACAAGCAAACAACAAATCTCAGTCAAAATTTGATGCCAAAACTGTATCACTGATTAACAGAACTGCAGTTTCCTCTCCCTACTCCCTCTCACGAGTCATTACAAGAGTTAAGCCTCCTATCAGAAGAATAATTAATTAGAACAAATATTGGAGATATTTACCAGATCTTCAATGTTTCCATAGATGTTTTTCTTCATGCCTGATGCTCGTGTTGCCACCCATCCTCCTAGTGAGCTGAACTCCATGGAGTCTGGTTCATGTCCTGTACAGAAGCCACTTTCAGAAAGCTAAAGAAAAAAAAAAAACCACATTTTACACAGTCTGCACTTGCTTAGCATTTCAAAATCTCAGTATTTTAGGTTTGCTCATTTTAAAAAGTAGGGCTGGAAGTCTGGGTAAGTACAGGCTGTCAGCCTGACCTCCAGATCTGCCTGTTTCCCGCAGTATTTTCTTGAAGTAGCTGGTAGCACATAGCTTAGACCTCTTAGCTGGATAAAAAATTGGACAGTCAGGACCAGAGAGTGGTGGTGAATGAAGTTAAATCCAGCTGGCAACCAGTCACAAGTGGTGTTCCCCATGGGTCAGTATTGGGACCCTTCTTGTTTAATATCTTTATTGATAATTTGGAGGAGGGGATTGTGTGCACCCTCAGTAAGTTTGAAGATAACACCAAGGTGGGAGGAAGTGCTAAACTGAGCGTAGGAAGGCTCTACAGAGGGATCTGGACAAGTTGGAATGATGAGGTTAATTATGTGAACTTTAACAAGACAAAGTGCTGGTTTCTGCCCTTTGATCACAATGACCCCACGCAATGCCACAGACCTGGCACAGAACAGCTGGAATGCTGCATGAAGGAAAAAGATCTAGGAGCATTAGTCAACAGCCAGCTGAACAGTAGTGTGCCCAAGTATCCAAGAAGGCCAACAGCATCCTGGCTTGTATCAGAAACAGCACAATCAGCAGGACTAGGGAGGTGACCATCCCTTCATACTCAGCTCTGGCAAAGCCACATATTGAGTACTGTGTTTAGTTTTCGGGCCCCTCACAACATGAAAGACATCAAATTCCTGGAGAATGTCCAGAGGAGGGCAATGAAGCAGGTGAAGAGTCTGGATTACAGGTCTTATGAGGAACAGCTGAGGGAACTGGGCTTGTTTAGTCTGGAGAAAGGAGGCTTCAGAGAAGATTTTGTCACTTTCTACAATGACCTGAAAAGAGGTTGTGGCACAGTGGGGGGGTCAGCCTCTTCTCCCATCTAACTAGTGTAGTGTAACTGTTGAAGCATCACCTTCCCTGCTGCAACTTAAGGCCTTTACGTCATAAAGAGAGGTAAAGGCCTTAAGTTGCAGCAGGGATGGTGATGCTTCAACAGCTGGACTTGACAATCTTAGAAATGGAATATCCTGATGATTCACTCAATTATTCAGGCACAAATTTTGTCTTTGATACATAAGTGAAATGCAAATTAATTCTGCTCCTACTGTGCATGGGCTTTGCTACACATCAACCTGTAATACTCCTCCTCCATACTTTAAAACTAAGACCTCTGTTGTTTGTAAGAAGGTGAGAATTCAAATACATATGGAAAAAAATTATAACTAAGTAACTGCCAACTTTGCACAAATGCTGCCAATAAATAAGGCATTTAATCTCTTGTTCTTTCCATTCTAATGTGATATGCAGCAGGTCTGCAGAAAATGTGAGCAAATTGCCTGTACTTAATTCTCTCAAGGAATGATGTGTTTTAATATACAACCATCTGGTTGGGCTTCCTGTACGCAAAGCTGTCAACTACTTGTGATGCAGATCATGCATTCCTGTACATTAAGTAGTCACTTGTTTCTCATTTTTCTGTATTAGCTTGGCTTTGCCATCTGCACAGCACCTGAGGTTGATTGGATGCCCTTAGAATTCCAACACCAAAGCTGTCAGGCAGAAAGAATTAAAGACCCAGAACTCACACTGATAACTGTGTTAGTGTTTGAGACTATCAATTTGCACTGGGCAACTGAAAAATCTACGTCCAACTAGACTGTTGTAAGCACAACATTTAATGTGGGTCATTAACTACATTCTGTAGTACAAAGTGATTCTAACTTCAGTGATTGAAAGTTATTTCTGCGTAACACTAACAGTGATTTATTGAGCCCATGGTCTTTTCTCTTACTGGAAGAACTTGTGGCTTTAGATGTTTACTGATCACACCAGGGAAGGGCTCCTGAACTCTCCTTATTCTGCAAGAGAACAAGAAGTTTGGTTCAGTCACAGCTTACCTACTTCTACAATGCACATAAACACAAGCACAGCAAAGGACAGTGCTTTTGAATACTTGTAAGTGACTGGGCATGCACAAAGCAGCAGATTCAAACTCTTGGAACACCACTGCATAAATGGTATGTGCTAAGGATACTTACAGAGTAGGGGAAAAAGAGACTGTGCTATGTACTTTCCAGATGGGATGGCCAACATGGCCTTCTCATCCAAAACAGGAATATGTACTGGCTTTTCTACAAAAAAAAATCATAATTTGCTTGATAATAGTAAAATTAGTATAAAAAAAAAAAAACTAACAAAAAAAAAACTGTTCCAGCTTTATAACTCTTCCTCACCTCTGATTCACTTCTGTTGACTATTAATCCACATTCTTTCCTGATAAAAGCAAGCAACTTGAGGCTCTTCTATAGAGCACACTATAACACATGAATTTATGAAGATATCTTCTCTTCTTACAGAAAAGTGTCTTAATTAAGCTACAATCACACATACTTGTGAAATTCATATTTATTTTTAATGTGCCATTCAAAAACGCCTTTTTTGTACAATATTTGGTTTTCTATATCTTTTACTTATTTAGAATTCAGCACTTGATGTTAGCTACAGTTGTAAAGTTCATAATAACTGTGAGCGTGCTAAACTTCTAAGTAAGGTCAGCACTCAAAAAATCAGACAGAGTAAGAGGCATCACACCTTTCCACAGTTTCTAGATAATGCTGGTAACGTCAAACTCCTTTGAAACTCCTGTGAACATCCAAGGAGAAAGAAAATCCATGTCAGCACTACCTCGTAGCATGTTTGCAGGAACAGAATATAAAATCCTTTACTTCTACTGCTAATACAGTCCAGCCTTCAAGTAAAATTCATTTTACTCTTGCACTTCCTGATTACTGCTGCAACAACACAGTTTCTCTGAGAAAAAAAGCCTTTTCCACTCTAGCTTTTACTGCCACTCCAGCAGGCACTCTGGTCAATCACATATTCCACCCCCCCGCCACAACTCAATTTCCTCCCTTCAAGCCCTGCCCATTTCATTTAGCTGTACTTGCCACATGTGCACAGTATTCACCTTTACTCCAGATTTTGAGGGCTTGTTTTTCATCCTGCTCATCTCTATTTTGCACATGGTGCTGCAATACGAAAATCCCTCCACGCTCCTGAGATCCTTCAATCCAAAGCTTAATACTAGCTAGCTGCAAACCCAGCAGTCTTTCAAAGCAATTCCCTTTGCTGCACCATCCAAAAATACATAGGTCACACCGATCATAACGCCTCCTATTTATTTCCATGGAAACTACGACAGATACAAAGAGCACAACAACACTGTTTGATAGAGAAGATTCTCAGCTACAGAACACTATTTTTCAACAGTCACTGCCACCACTATGCATTTGCACTAGCAATGAACAAAAGTCTGCAAGTCATGCTCACAAAAATCTGCATGGCTGTCTGGAATATGGCCTGTTTTTCACATCTGTCACCACTGTTGACACGCACAACTCAACATCCCACTGTGCTCATGTCCACTGCTTGGTTTCCATAAGTGTTCAGCAAGCGCCAGTCAATGTCAGTGGGTGCAATTCAGTCTGCATAGAAGAATTCAGTGACACATCTTTGCTTCACATGCACTTCCAACTCAGACACCACTTTATCAGACTGCCCCTCTGCTGCCATCTGACACACGGCACCAAAGGGTAACAACAGTGATAAGAAGGTTCAACTTCTACCGCTGTACCACCACCATCTGCCTCTGCCATTATGGGCCAACATAACAAAACAGAAAACATTACTATCAGAGCAACTCTTGTATAACTGCATTCTATCTGTATTTTAGTGGACGCTTGCATTGACATTAATCACAATTGTGCTTGTTTTAGGTGGCCTGATTTGAGCCTAACCTGGAGCCTTCATTTTAATCACATTCCACTGAGTAGTTCTTTACTTCCAATTTGTAAAATAAGAGTCTTCAAAATATAAACACACATGCACACACACACACACAAAGTAGGTGATCTGATTTGATAGTCTTTGCTCACTGAGAGAGTCGCACAGAAATTCTGAATGTATTAATAGTTGTTCCACACATTGTAACTTTTGAAAGAACACTAGTCCATTTTCCAGTGCAGAACCAATGAACAATCAGTACTCTTTTCATAGTCCAGAACCCAAATGAAAGATTCTAAGCTTTCTGACCAAAAGGATTCAAAGAGAACTACAATAGCAGTATTCTAACCCATGCAAAGGGAATACTGTTCTTTACTCTGAGCAAAGAGAAAATTAGTAGCATTTAAAGGACAGAATAGTAACAAAATATCACAAACTACCACTCTACGAAAACAAATAAAAAGATCTTTTACAGAGAGAACATACTCCATTTTCATTTTAGTTCAAGCTTAAGTAGTAAAAGAACTGGAAAGGTTAAAATATTACATTAAATGATATAAAGGAACAAAACAACAACAACAACAAGAGTTAGTTTATTATCTTTCTCATAATAAACTGCTCTACCATTAAAACAATTTTTTTTTTTCCCCAAAAATCATCTAGAAAAAAGTTGTTCAAATTAAAAGCAGCCTTCAAATCTCTGCATACTTGTAAAGTGCCCTTAGGTACTAAGTTTAGACAGCAATTAGTTATCAAAATACTTGAGTCTTGGAAGATAAGTAAGCACAATTGCACATCCCGAAGAATAGTCAATAAATACCTACAACGTCCCTGATTATCAAGGAGCACTGAGAAAGACCCTGAGAGGGTGCTCTGACTCATCTGACAGACTGCAGTTGGAGGTCACTAGAGATCACTCAGAAGTAAAGGTGATGTAATTTTTCACTGGACCTTTATTTTAGTCCATTCTCCTTCCTTTATGCTACTTTTTCATAGCCAGTCTTAAGCAGCAGCAACAGTAGCAAGTCTGTTATAAGCTTTACCCCTTCTGAAATAACTACCTCTGTCCCAAATAACTACACCACGCTCAACAGAATGAATCTAAAAACTTCTGTTGGTATTTTGTACCAAGTGTCACATCTTACAACACAACGGCATATCTGAGGCCTGAAATAGAAAGCACAGTGTTATATCCTACAAATTATTAACTTACTGGTGTACAAGCATTTTGGATCTACAGCTAAAAGAAAAAGTAATTTAAAAATGTGCATCAAATACAGCTTCCCATGTGATGTGATTCATAACCAAGAATAAAATAACCACAGACTGCGTGAAAACACAAGAACTAGAATTCAGTGGCCTAGACAAGACATGAGGAACAGCATGGAATAACATGGAGAAATACTAGATATCTCAGAACAAAAAATACCTGTTTTTCCAAATCTTGTCCAATAATGCCAGCTTCCACACATGCTGTTAAATTCTTCTCATCTATCCAGAGAATCCGATTCTGTTCAGAAGTGAATCAAAACCAATAATCAGTGTTTATTTCCTTCTCTAATGCTATACGGTCAACAATATCTGGACATACAAGATAACATTAACACAACTCAAGTTATTACAGCAGGGGCAGCTGAGCTTCCCCACTCCAACAGTTAGACAACAGGTTGTAGTCTATACAGCCTCTGCCATAAGTAACATTATTAATCAGCTCATACTGGAAACATTCAAAGAAGCAAAGCAGAAAGAACAGAAAAAAAATTAAGACAAAAGTACTACAGAAATTAAAATACAGTATTTTTCAAAATGAGTGCAATTTAAGGTGCTGGAGTCTGAATATCTGGACATAAGGCATACTCCAAGAAAAGTACTCTTGAATAAACTCCCTAGGTTGAACAGATGGCACTGAAGTACCCCAGCTCAGCTCTGGGATTTTGACATACTAGATTAGAAGTAAAATATGGTATAAGATGTCAAAGTATGGAAGTACTTAAGAAATTTAAGGTACTGAGAAGAATTACACCTTTTCACAGGATGGGAAACTCACTGACCCATCAGGATATTCTATGAAACAGGAAAAGAAGCACTAAGCATAATTATTAACAAGGACAATCCATGAAGAAGAAACTAACAAATCTGGGTTTAGCTCTGTTTACAGAGAAAATTCCACAGAGGCTTCAACTTCAGTTGGTCCCTGATAAGTGATTATAGAGTTATTTACTGGGATTGATAGTTCAGAAAAAAAAAAAACAAACCCAAAAACAGCATGATGAAGACTATTTAGATTCATCAGTAGAAAAAGCAACATGCAAAACCCTTTACTTTCCAAGTTCTGGAACAAAGACAACAGTGTAAAAAGCAGTTTTTACATTGCTTAATATGACACTATTTACATTTCTGTGATTCATGTGCCAAGTTCTGTCTTCCCTAAATAAGGTAGTATCACTCATTTTCAACGAGAATCGCTATCTGAAGGAGTTAAGAGATGTACTGTTTTATATAGAAATCTTTTATTTCTTCAGTGAAGGCTGATAGATATAATTTATTATTATTATTGCTATTATTTTAAAGTCTGCAAAACACAATAAAATTTACAAGAACAAGACTTCCTACTGGCCTTTCACTTAACTCAGACAATTCCTATATACAAGAATGGTAACTTCCTCTGATTTTCTCTTATGTAAAACTGTACAAAGACTCAGCATTAGGATTTTTTTTTTTTTGTAAGTACATAGGTCATATTTAGTACAGGACTAACTTCAACAAAAATATCATTTGAACTGAAGTACTAATTTAATTATTATAGTACAATTTAATACTTCCATCTTTTCTTGTTTTTGTAACAAAGAAGGAAATGTCATTCTCCAGTGATTCCTTCCTCTAAAGTAACACAAGACAATCTAAATTTCAACATATTTTTTTCCTAGAAAAAATACATACCATTTGTGATGTATCCAGAGAGACAATTGTTCTTTTCTCTTCTTCAGGGCATTCAAGGGCACTAGAGACACTTGTTCCTCCTGAAAATAAGGGATAACTATTGTGATTAAAAATCTCAGGCGAGTTCTCCCCCACCTTCCATATACAGATCCTTCTCTCTCTCTCTCCTTTCGAATACTGAACTTATTAAAGATCACTTTTTGAAGCTAATGGTTAGTATTCTTAGACTGTCCCTGCTCCCAGATTGGGAGTTGCACACAATCAGGACAACAATGGAACAGACAAAAGGCTTTAACAGCACTTGATAACAAATCACGAAATTCTGACCATCTCATCTGCCATCATAAAGCCTGGAATGTAACTTCAAAATGGGAAAGGATAAGAAATCAAGTCATTCAAGAAACAGAGACAGCTGTGGTTTCTATATACTCTACTGAGAGCACTAGAAAGGACGCTACACTTCTACCTAGCAAATGGGCTGAAGAGATCTACATCATACAGGAATGCAATACTTACCTGAAAGCAAGTAAGAAACTGAAAAAGGTATAACTATAAAAATGGATGAATAAAAACAAATATCAAACTTCTCTGGAGGTTGCTAGTGTATCTTTATAGCATGTTAGATAACAGTCTCCAAGAAGTTCTTGGCTTCTCAAAGACAACAAAAGCCATAGGAAGAAAAGAAAAAGACTAGAATGCTACAGAAATTCTCACCAAGCTACATGTAAAGTGCCAGTGCCAGCTAGTAAAACACCAATGCTCTTCAAGAGCAGAACACCTGCCACTTTTGTTTCCAGTGATAGGAAAGGAGGCATTTTCATTTAATATTAACTCTTAAAACAACTTAAAGAGTTGACCCATAGTTTAATACAACAGAAAATCTAAAGATCTTGTATTGCAGTCAATGAATAAGAACTAATCCATGCTGTTCTTCTCTACAGTCATACTGCATCTGGGAAGCACTTTTGGGAGAAACAAACTTTGTTAGTTTGATACAGTGTTTAAGAGACATGTTTATATTATCAACAGTAAACATCCTTCCTACAGGGGCTACATGCTTACAGCACAATTACCCAGGCATCACCTTACAGCACAGAATTAAGAGTTCCTGACAAAACACTTATCACAGAAAGAAGCTTATGAAAGTCAATATCTCACGTCACTTGATGTTGAAGTCAAAAACAGATACTTCACCTTACAAGATTAAGAGGAAAAAGTATGTATAATTAATAACCCGAAGCCTCTTAAAGTTGAGGCTAAGAAGGACTCAGAACCTACAAGAGTTCAAAGGCAAATAGGTAGATTTCAACTTCACATACACGCTTCTCTTGCACTCCTAATATTCAAAGTGTTTTTACATCTGCTGACTTTTGCTCAGCTGAGTACAGCAACTTTCAATATTCCAAGATCACAGAAAATAGACAGTATTTAAAATTCAAGGGTCACTCCAAAAGTAATGCCTCCTACTGTATTACTAAAACCACAGACTTAAATTCACGCAGAATAATTTTGCACTAGAAATGTTAAACAAATTTGATATTTAACACTACTTACCGCCAAACGGTATTATGCACAGATTATGTTTGCAGGCTAATTCCACAATTTTAACTACATCTTCGTGGCAAACTGAAAAAGTTAAACAGGATTGGAGCTTGTTACTGTTGTTTAAATATCACAGTCTGAATACTCAGCAGCTCCTTTTCTGACATCAGCAAGGAAGACGTTTCAAAGAGTTAGGCACTAAAGAGCTGGACTCATAGTAAAAAAGAATTCCAAAGGTACATTTTAGATATAAAACAATTCCACTTTTAAAGAACTTACTACATAGCCTTGGTCTCCTGCTCACAGATTGAGACTTACTGGGAATTCTCAGGGTAAGATGGACTAACAAATGGGTTAGAATTGAGCTAGGTATCCAGGAGAACAAATTAAGATTGAATCTTTATTGAAAACAGATTTTCAAATCCATTTCAAGCTGAATTAATCTCTTCTGACAGTTGAAAAACAATTTTTATCTTCCCAGATAACATCCAGCATCAGAAGAAGGGCTGCTGGTCAAATTTACTTTTTTAGAATGCACTATGAATCTGATCAAAGATGAATCAGAAATGCTTGTGCAATAGCAAGGAAAAGTACCACCATATAAAGACCACATATACTTGTACCTGAGTTTGTGCAAACAGAGAATGAACAGGAATGAAAAAAGATAGGCTTACAAACTCTGGCTATTTTGCTCTTGCAATAGAGAGCAGCTTTAGATCAATGTAGTCAATCATTTTACTTCAGTTGCTCTCAGAGCTGCACAAGAAGTGGTGATTAAGTCCTGTCCATGACCACCACAGCTGTCGTATCAGTAACTGTCCTCACATATTCAGATGCATCTTACACTGTCTTGTTAGGCTACCCACGTCATTTTTTTCCCCAGATGAAGTAAGAAAACAGAGCTGAGAGTAATCTTGGGGTTTCTAATACAGCATAGCTATTCAAAGCATCAGAAAGTTATAAAAACAGCTGGATTCATACAACCTCAGTGCAAGATGATTTTTTTCACTAGCTATTGAAGAACAGCACATGGAAAGTAGATCCTAGTGACCTGGGAAACCCAACTCAATTAGAAAATTCACACAGATGAGCAGATGAAGTTTTACCAGTTAAAGTTTTCACACTCTTCTACTTGATAAAAACAAGCATTATTTTCTGCTACATTTTGAACTACAACATTAGTGATTATTCTACCTCAAATGGGTCTATCCTGCACCACCATTTCTTCAAGTCAATCACCCTTCATAAGGTGCTTTGATTGGAGTTAACAGGTGTTACGCCTTTAAAATATTATTTCAGTACAGTATGGCATAAGACCAAATTTTTGAACGCAAACATTTAATCACCTTTCTACCATCTCATACTTGTTAAAAAAAAAACAAACAGCAAGATTTAGTCTGCCATTTAGGCAGCTGTTCACGGCGCATATACATGTTCACATTATACTGGGCTTACTGAAGTCACAAATTCAGCTGTCATCTGAAATTTCACTTGTATTTAACAATAAATTTTACTTCCCTATTAAGTAATGGGACTTAATGTTACAAAATCATGATTACCACACCCCCCAAAAATCCGTTAGGGTCTCTAAAGAAGAGTGAGGTTGTCCAGACAGCTTCACAATAACAAGAGAGCACAGGAATTTAGTAAACAGATCAGAAGGAAGCAGGAGTAAAACATTAAGCTTACCAGGCCATACAACTATATCAGGAATTCGCTTAAACATTCCTTCCCTGAGTACAAATATCTCATGTAGGCAGTGACCTGAAAAACAAATGATAAGTAATCACGTTCAAAGAGGAAGCATCTGAAGTACAGTTATATAAATGAACTTGTCTTACCATGAGCTCTGAATACCCTATCTTCTGCATCCTGTGAATATGAGATATTAGTGGCTCTAAGATCCTGAAGAAATTCTTCATTTACAATAGATGGAGGTACATCATTAACATTTAAAGATGCCTACAATACAAGAAAATATTTCCATTAAAGATAAGCTCCCTCTTACAGCCTTTCTTTACAGTTAAAAAAAGTTTACCATTAGCTTAATATCAAAACACAGCTATTTAAGATTAGAAACACAGACCTTATTTGTCTTATCTTCAGCCATTGATCCATTTGCCTTGCCTAGTAACCATCTGACTAGATGCACATACAGTTTTATTCCATAGCACATTTTGATTCTTTTTCCCTGACAAATCTGGAAAAGTGAACAAGCTTATAAATGCATACTAGGTAAAATACTTGTCTTAAGGAATTCAAGATCTAAGAGAAAGAATTGCCTGAACACTACTGAAGACCCTCGAGTAGGTAAAGTTCAAAATTTTTCATACAATACAAGAAACACATACATATGCCATTTAGTTCACTTTGTGAACATAAGTGTAATGCTTGTAATTACTTTGAATGTTGAATGGTGAGATCTGAAGAATCATAAAATGCTGTGGGTTGAAAAGGACCTCAAAGATCATCTATTTCCAACCCCCCCTGCTGTGGACAGGGTCACCAACCACTAGACCATGCTGCCCAGAGTCACATCCAGCCTGGAAGAAGAAAGGAGGAGTTCACTTTCAACAAGAAAGTATTCAGGTGATTACCAAGATCTACGGCATACTTCGAAGAAACTACATGAGGTTACATAGAAATGAACAGGACTTACAGGATAATTTAGTAAAGAATATTTGCTTTAGGTAGGTTCATAGCTGATAGCTCACAAAAACTCAGAGGCTCAAGAGAATAGCTAATTATTTGCTTTTTCTCTTCATGTAAGACATTCAACCTTATGAAAATACAGTTTTAATAATGGTTTACTTCTGAAAAAACATGTGCTACTTGGACTTGTTTTTTAGGGATGATGCCATATTTGAAATAAGGTGTTAGACATTGGAGAAAAAGGTTTTTCCCTCCAGCATATTCACAGTGTCACCTACAGACACAGAAACTGGAGATTAAGGTGAGATCAGGCAAGAGGCATAGTGCTACTAAGAGATCCTGATTTTAGAGGCCAGTCACAATAAGCTGAGTGCTACTGCTCTTAGCTCTTGCTAGTCTGCTATTAACATACATTCATAGAGTGTATTTGGATTAACTCAAGAGCAGAATTCAAACCTGGAAAACGTAAGGAAAAACAAATATACGAAGTAACCAAGTAGTTAAAGATCTCTGTTCAAAGACAATTCCTGTTAGCTCGCCTCATATTTTCTATTTCAAACTTGTTTCTTCATGGATTTTTGTAGATAAACGCATTTTGGTTCATTTCAAACTGGACACCAAATGCTTGATGATCTTGGTTCTCTATAAGATGAAGACAAACTACCTAGAACTATAAGGATTCCTTTCAGATAACTATATTGGGGATTTTTGTGTTCTGCAAGAATTTATTTACATTTTGAAGATGAAAAATAAAGTGCACATTCCTCTATATAAGTCTTATGTAGCATGCCACACCAAAATATCTTCTTCTTATGGGACTGAGATATTTTAGAAGTTGTACACTGGAAGGTTGGACAGGAAACATACATGAACTAGGTTTAAACTGCTGCCTTTTCTAAGTCTAGACTGAAAACGGAGAAAAGTCATCAGGCCTCAAGCAGCAGAAAAGTGGGTACATTTACTGTGGTAAGTTACAACAGAAAGACTGCACATGACAGAGAACCCTTCAGTCCTATAGAACAAAAGCAAGAAGAGATAAAGACAAATAGACCAAGACATTCTTTCCATACTGTTGTTCCTATGTTTGAGTTCCTTCACGCTCTGATGATAACAGACAGTGAAAACCAATACAGTGCGAAAACCTGCAATCTAAATCAGGAACTGTAAGATAAATGTGAAAACAGAGAACCTCTGGTAACTATGAAAAGTACAGAAACACACTGGAAACTCCAAAGAGCCCTATTCTGCATCTAGAAAGTCAGCATGGTTCAGACCACAACAACAGAGGTGTACGACATAACAAAAAACCAACACTGCCGGCAGATATTTTGCACCTAGTTCTTCAGGACACGCTGTGAAATCAAAGTGCCATTTGATAATCTGCCCTTGTCCTTCAATTCTGTTTTATTCTCTATATTCTATACACACAACACTACTGGTCATGATGAATTAAAGCAATTTTGCTGTGAGCAGCTGCCAGTTATGACAAAGGAAAGCATATAAGGAAAAATACATACTGACACATGGAGAAACTAAGTCAGCAGATGAAAGAATGAACTGGCTAGCATAAGACTGAAGTGCTTGAGTTTTTCAAGCCCAATGAGATTACCTGCTTCAGAGAAAACACAATGTTGAACTCACTGAGGAAATGGGTAAATAAAACTGCTACCCAAAACAGTGTCACTACAGTAACTGTACAAGAACAACCTTCTTCCAGCTCTGCTTTGCTAGCTATCTAGTCAGGAACCTCAAATGAATTCTTCTTAAATGAGGTGGGTCAATCTTGAGATATTCTGCTTGAAAAGCAAAATATGTACGTTTCACGAAACCAGAACATTCTGAACGTGCTTGTTTTTTTTTTTCCTGAAAACATTCAGCACAATCTTGAGTATTCTGATAGCCAGTTTTCAGCATGTGAAAAATATTGCTGTCAAATTAGAACTTGGATAACATGAAATACACTGAAAACACAACACAATTTAGTGTCACCTTATCTTCTGTATTTATTTTCACAAACAATCGTTACAGTTTCATGAATAATAATTCTCTGTAGGCTAGCAGTTTCCACAATCTTGAAAAACAGCCTACAAACAAGGACTAAAATTTCCCTTTGTGGGAAATACTTAATCCAATTAATGCACTACCAATTGACCTAGAACTACAAGTTGTGCTAAGTCACTGGAAGTTTTATACAGTAGTTCTACACCAGATATAAACTCTCAGGTGTTAATACACTATGGTTAAACCAATTACATGCAAGGTGACCTTCAGAACAGCTGAATCACCTTTAAAAATCCAGTCTTGATCATCACCAAGACTAACATTTAAAGGAACTGGTTTGGCTATTTACTTACTCTAGAGGTAGTTTTGTGCTCCAGACTTGCTCCAAAGGTTTTTTCTATCCATTCTTTAAAAGTTGGTAATACCATACCACCTAATCTGTACCTGGAAAGTCAATATTACACAGTGTCATTTTAAATTAAAAGAATATATGTCAGATACACTTCTTTTGATTCTGCATAAGTACCAATAGTAAGTTTTAAATTCAGTTCTCACCTAAAAGGCTGCAAAGTTCTGCCCATTCAGTTTTCATGAAACTACACAGTTTCATTGCATTTAAGTATTCTGTACTTAACACAAAAACAAAGCAGATGTCAGTACCTCAGACGTTATTTTCCTTTATGACTGTTGGGAACTGAGGCATAAGGATTATCAGATATCCCACCCCCCACTTTCATTTTTAAGTGATGGAGAAAGCAGTGTCATAGTTTACATGCTCATTACAGAAGGAGAGCATGTATGTACAGACACACTGCACTGTAAACTAAAGCAGTCTCAAACACACAAACCCAGCTCAACACACATCACAGTCTCAAGAAAACCAGAGCTAAAGGTTCCTCTCATCCTCAGGATGCATTCAAACCCATCAAGCGATGTGATTATCACAAACCTGTTGGCAAGAGTTATGACAGATGGAAGCTGCAAAGCAAGTGGCAAAGAAGCTGGTCATGGTTCTGGCATGTGGCATGCACCACAAGCGAGGCAGGGCAACGCTTAAACATTGATGAGGTGGAAACTTGTAAATTGCGTACATTTACACACTTCATACATGTTTACAATATATGCACAAGCATACTCCAAGATGAAAACAAAAGAGCTTTCAGCAGTTGAAAATAAATCTTATAGCTCGTATGTAGATTGATACATTAGGCCCCACAAATCTTTCTTCTACGACAATTTAATTATTACACCTAACCATGACCCTGTGCTTTACAGCTACTATTAAGGCACCTACTATGCAATTCATTTTGTTTCCTTATCTTAACTACTTTCTAGTTCTCTCACTGATAAAACAATCAAAAACCTAGAGACAAAAGGGTACAAACACACTGCAACTCAGCTAGAAAGGCTATGTTCAGTGATCCCTTCTGTGACAGCTATTATTGTATTAAGTATATTCATACAGAACAGAAGGAGTTCTGTAGAAAGGCAAGTACAAAAAGCAACAAAAGTTTAAGGTACAAGTCTAACGTAAATTAGGAATCTGCAAAGGTGCAGAATATCTTGGTTCAGCTTGGTTCTTTTTCCTCTCCAGACACACCTTCTGGTATTGCCCACCTATTGCTACGGCTTTCTCAAAGTAAAGCCGACAGAAATCTAACAACTAACTCGGGGCAAACAAAAGTCCCAACAGAGAGGAAATTGGTGAGTGTACAGAATGCAATTATGACCAGTTACTCAAGGGTAAGCTTTGTACATAGGATGACGGTAGAAGAAGTCCCTGAAAAAAAATAAAATAAGAACTGTCCTCCCTGGAAAAACAGGTTTATTTGCTCACTCAAGCAAGTACCTTCTACTTCTGGTGTGATGGTATAGTTGGTAATGAAAAAAGGATAATTTGACAAGTAGAAAAGCACAGTCTGTTGGGACAGTCAGTGCAACTTCCATAAAGAGAATTCCTGTTTCACTGTCCCTTGGAGTTCTATGAGAGTGTGAAAATAAAGTAAACAAGGAGACTGCAGTGAACATTATATTCTACGTCCCTCTCTATTTCCACAGAGGTTCTACCTTAGCAGCCATTAAAGAAAATATGTTGCTACAGTACTGATGGGAAGGTTCTTCTTGAGGCTTAAAGATAAGAAAAATAAGTCTGTCCAAAACAGGAGTGCAAACTGCCACGTTGCTACTGGGTCCAGTTTTACATAAAGTCTTCATCAGCGATCAGGGCTTAACAGTGGACTCTCCAATCAGGTGAATGATAAAACATCATTCCCATCTCTTCTAGAACAGGGAATAGTACTCATCAGTTCAACAGCAGCCTCAGTGCTTCCTCCAGGGAAAAAAAAAAAAAAAAAAAAAGTACTATGCTTTTGCCCCTTTCAAAGTACCCTGCACAAATTCCTTATGCAGATAAAGGTATCAGATGAAAAAATGAGTGACAAAGCAACAAGGGTTGGAATCGTAGCAAAAGATCACCAAGATCTCCCTACACAGTATACAATAAACTCATAAGCCTAAGACAGTGCTTTGCATTTTAACCTGGGACTGAAAATTAAAAGATTAAATGACTTGTGTTCAGTACTTGAGAGAGACTTTTTTTGCAGGTTTGACTCAAAATAGCTCATAGCAGCTGTGCAGAAACTCAAAGAACATGAGTTCTTCTTCAGTACAGTGTCCCAGCAAATTCATTTCTCTTTCCTATTATTATCATTATTTTTCTCTTAACAAAAGGATATTATTTTTAAAACTAAGAAGACTGTAAGACTCTTTTTATTTCAGGTATAAAGGAGCAGTAAGATATCGAATGACAGGCTTGAAACTCACTGAAGAAAGAAAAAAGATCCTGAAGAATTAAACTTGTATTTGCTGAAAAACTATAGATACATTTTTCAGAAAAACAAATTTGCTGTGTAAAGGGCTAGAAGACAACAGATCAGAGCTGTCTGTTGCCACAAAGCATACAACTGTTCATTCATTTTGGTTTTAAGCTAAGAACATACAGAAACTCCAAGTATAACAGTTAAGAAACCTAAAACACAATTTCAATGACTCAATGAATTGAATAAAGCAACTTGCTGATGCTCACGAGATTTTCAAAACTGGAACCACTCCATGGAACTGCTCCATGTTTTCTAAGGTTTAGAAGAATGTACAGATTCTCATTCTACACTCCAGGGGAAGTTTCACTACTACATACAGAATTCAGTAAACCCACACAGAACTAATGACCTGCTCTACGAGATAAAGGAGCTTTCTGCTGCTTTCAGCTTAGCTGAACACTCCAGTTTTAAAACTCTTTTACAATAAATTACTAATAAAATACTTTACTTCAGTAACATGATTTGCCAGCTTACCTCTTTCCTGTGAATTCTGCTTGACCCTTCTTATTGAATATGAATTTAGAGTCATTATATCCCCATCCATTCCACTTCAGAATTTCTTGTCTAGAAAGGGGAAAACATACATGATTGAAAATGTTAGCACACTGTAAGGCCAAAATGTTTGTATGATTTATGATTTCATAGCTTTGAAAACATAGCAACTTAAGAAGGCAAATATATATCAAAAGTACAGAACCTAATACACGTAAAAATCATTTGCAATCATAACCATTATTCCTTCAGACTGCATCCTAAGGTTTGAAGGACAAGATGCTTTGTGAACCACCAGCTGAAGTCAATAAACTGTACAACGAATATTTTTGAATCAGCACAGACTCCATTTGAAAGATGTTCATCTTCAAACCTCTACATCACTACTAGAAGTAGCAGTACTACAAACAGGTAGTAGCAGCTGAAGAATGAAAAAAATGCAGTAGCTCTAGAATGAAGAAATGCATTAAACTTCAGTTAAACCTCACATCATTACTGCAACCCCATTACATTCCCAGCGTTGATTCAGTGAGGCACTGAGAGACATTCCCATTAAAAATATACTTTGAAAAGCTGAAAAAACATAGCAGAGGGAATAATATACCAAACAGTGTGAATTAACTCAATGTAATGAGACCATAAGAAAGGTAATATGAAAAAAACACAATTGTCAAAATATTATCCAAAACATTGAAGTGTCTAAACACAACCACTCCAAAACAACCACAATAAAAAACATCAGTAATGTATCAGTGTAAACACATTGAAGATGCAAAGAAACAAGAGAAAAAAGAGTAATTACATATCAATTCAATTTTGCTTTAAAAAAAAAACTATTCATTTAAATTAGAAATGAAGTGCTAATGTAAACATTGAAATAACAAAAATGCATCTTAAAGAAGAACAGATGATACATCTCACTCTGCTACACACAGTAAACATAGATCTTGCTCTTTGACTGTATCTTAGAAGAGCAAGACAACGATCAGTGATCATTTTGAGAAGGCTTCACATATTGAAGTCACTGCCTGAAAACAGCTGTAACTCCAGCAGTACATGCAAGGTAGCTGGGTGCTGCTGGACTACCAAAGGCCTTTCTAACAGAGAAAACAGAAGCGAGCTCCTGAGACACCACCACTGCTGTACTCAGTCAAAGTTCAGTTTCTTCCAACTGCCTGTCCACAAGGCTTCAAGTAATCGAATGGAAAAAATGGGGACTTCTACTACAAATGTTTGACACAGTCATTTCAACAAACCTTTGATAAGATTAGCATTTCCTAGGCAAGCTTTATAGGAACTTCAAGCATTTAGCAACTGATGCATTTGCGATGCTTCTGCACCCTGAAGAACTGACTGTAACACTGCCACCAAATTAAGCTGTTTCCTGAACAATTGTCTAAGACTGCAGTCCTCCTCAAGGCGAACTACATGGAGTACTCCTGTACATTCAGACTCAGTTTGTCTAATCATGTGAAGTCAGAACAGACATGATATTAATCAACCAAATTTGAGGAAGGCTTAAGCAGGTCCTCTTTTCAAGGCAGTATCAAAAAATACTGCTAAGTGTGATGTGTGGAACAGGGCAGAGAAAGCAGCAGCAAGGCTGGAGAAGATCAGCCTGAATGGGACGCAAAGGGGCAGGCTCCAAAAGAGCCAATGATTCTGGGTAACCAAGCGAGCGCTTCTCTGGGACACTCAACCACCCTGATGTCCACTCGGATAGATGAGACCTCCAAAGCCCAGAGCGTAGCCACTGAGTGGAGACCCAGCAAGGGGTTCTTTCTGCTAAGCCACCTGCACTACCAGTTCCTGGCCCTTCCTGCAGGCCTGCTTTCCTAGGCTGGTGCTTTCTTCAGGCTTTAAAACACTAAACAGAGGGGAAGAAGCCAAATTTCCTGAGAGCTTTCAGGATTAACTATTTCTGAATGAAATAAGTAAGTAATGGTTATGGTTCGCTCTGAAAGATAACACAGCTCTTATTATTGCTGAGGTGAGAGTAATTAATTTAAACGCCAATACAACAGTTCATGTTTGCAGAAGAACAGCAGGTTCTGAAACATCTCAACCACTGCATAACACAAAGTCAGGCAAATCACCCTTTGCCTAAAAGATGGTTTTGTGACTTGTGACATGCAGACACAACAAGAAGTTAACTACAAACATCTAATTTCTATATTCAAAGCTACCCCAAGCAATTCTGAGGTTTCTGTTTGGAGACAGAAAGGACTGTTTTGTAAGAAGCCACTGACATTTATTCTTTCCTTTGTTCCACCACAGCAGGGAGTACTGCCAGCTTTGGGACTGCTATCTGATTTACTTACAGTGGCTCCTAGCACTTCTCGCCTACACAGTAGCAAGTTGGAGGAAATACTGCACACGGCTTCCTAACAAGCAGCCTAAAAAACATCCAGAATATAAAATAAAATGACAGATTATCTAGCTCTGAGTGACAAGGCCAACATTTGCTGTTTTACTTGTTTTGAGCTCAAAGCTGTTAAGTTTTGTGTTGTATCTATGCTACCTCATTTAAAGATGATGGCTTTTCTATTCGGGTACAGTGACCCAAACAGAATATCAAGCTCATTAGCCCTACCTTCGTATTAAATATTAGCAATTGATCAGTTCTTCCTTGCTTCCTAACTTTAAAGCCAGAAAATCAGTACTGAAATGAAATGATAAACGTAAAAACGTTAAAAGCAAGCTTTGCTTAACTTTTTTTTTTTTTTAAATATATTACATACATACATATACACACCATATACATGTAAAATAAGTAATGATATTGCCTGAAGGGAAAAACCTGCAAGAAAACAAGTTACCATGGAAACACTGACAATAGGAGCAAGTGTTGTGAAAATAGTGTGCTAAGGTTAATCGAATTCAAACCTCTCCTTACAATGCTCTGTGCTGAAACAGTTTCACTTGATGCAACAAGAATTACTCTATTTTTACAGCAAGAACTCTTGAACAAACTCTCTTCGCTTTTCTGAAGAGCTGGCTACAAGATGCTGCGCAGATCACAGTACAAGATAGATAACGGACCTAAAATAAGCACGCTGAAGCCTCCAGTGAAGGTATTTAGGATGGCAGGGCAGCCCACGAGGGCACAGGCCGACCTCCCAGCACCCAGACACTGCCCACACTCCCACGGCCCATGGCTCTGTGACAGGCTGCCAACTGCTTTCCTTTCCCTAGAAAACCCAAGCAGCAGCACAGGCCCTTCTGCAGGTATTGGAGTTGAACATCCAGAAGTTCAATCCCCATAGGAATTACATCACACATGCTATTTTCCAGTAGTTTAAAATGAATGGCACAGTTATACACCAAATCATCACACACATCACATAGAACTGCCAGGTAAAAAGAGATTTTTTTAAAAGAAAATTTTCTCCAGCAGTCACAGCCTTTTATCTTCCAGGGCAGATTGATATTACAAAACCAGAAGCACACCGTTTTTTCACTTCCAATAAAGTTACAAGACCACATTCAGAGAAATATAGAAAGTCGATGAATGAATTGTAGCTCAGTAGCAATAATTACTTGCATCAGTACAGGGACACCCATCCAAGCACAACGATCTCAATACAACTTCTCCCTCACTTCTACAAAACCGCGTGAAATGCAGCACATCATACAAACGGAAGCAAACAAGCTACTTCACTAAAATGGGCAATGGCCATTTCCTGCATTTTCTTCAGAGAAGCAGCCCTAAGTCTGTGCCATTCAACCAACTGCACCAACGGGATCCAGCTATAGCAGAGCCAAAATGCTCACGGCAATGTTCTCACAATAACCACCAGTGCTTTCAATTCAATCATCAGCTGGTGCTTAGCCTGCAAACATCACACACACAAAATAAACAGACACTCCTGTTCTGCCACACAAGAACAGCACATTCTTGGAAATGACATATAAGTGGCAGTTTCAATAGCTAGCACATTGGCAAGCCACCACTGTTTGTCTAATGGAGCAATGCAGACAAGTCTTACAGGCTGTGAAGTTCTTCCAAGACCTGGAGCAGGCACGCAGTAAGATTCAGGTAGCATTATGGTGCTAAGGATTTGCACCAGGTTATCATCTATACAGTAACTCCTCAAAGCCCACTCTAACTGGACTTCTGGCCACTCCATTCCTGTGCTGCAGCAGTCCCTGCATGGGCTACACAGTCCCATCATTCCAGCATCAGTTAAGAAAGCTTCTGGAGCCAGCAGTAAATTAGAATTAGGTCCCTGGAAATTCGGAAAAGGAACATAGCCCAAAGAATCCCTTCAAGAACTGCTTTGTGAAAGCATAATTTATCTGGAGAATGACATGCTGCAGGCAGGGAATATCTGCTATGTTTGTCACTCTCACGTCTTCTCTCGCAGGGAGCCTTCTCTGCAGCAAACCAAACCTGAGCGCAATAGCTTCTGAAGGCCAATAAGAGGCCTGTTTTAGGAAACTTAGACACATTCCAGTTCTGCAGCCTGTGTTTTCCATAAACCTCTGCAGCTGCACACACATCTACTACAGCTGTTGTTCTGTTTGCCAAGTATCTGCGACAGCAACATGAACCTTGGTTCATATTTACAGTTTAAATCCACGGAAAGCTGCAAGCATAGACAAAATTTAAGGCATGGAAGACTTGACAGGACCAGAGCAGAGTATGGCATGGCTCTTTTTTGTTTGGTTTGCTTTTGTTTTTATCAGAACAGTTTAAAAAACAAACATTAACTCTTCTTACATAATGCCAACGTTGACTACTTCATTACATTTTAATAATAAAGCCCCAAGGAACAAGGAAATCGGTGCTTCTCCAGCGTTCTCTTGTAGAAAGCTTAAGTAATTTGGCAGATTAAATGAATTAAAGATGAAACACTGTATAAAGAAAGCCAAGATACTATACGTACACTTCTGATGCTATTGGCCAGATGATTCTCATGCAAGGGACTACTTAACAAAAAGCTATTTCTATTCCATCTACTACTTCCACTGGTATCAGTTTCTATCTTTGAAGTGACAGCTCTGCTGCAAAAATGCATGCATGTGGCTACTTCCAGGCAGTCAGGGAACAGGCATTCAACACTTTTCAA